TGATTGTTTAATACGGGCCTACTACTGTATCATGCACTAAGCATCTAAGAGACTTAGATATTTATCATAGACATTGTGTACCAGCCAAAAGAAAAAGAGCACTAATTATTCACATTCTAGGATGTACATGATATACAACTATATATCACATGACACTAAATGTCATAGTAGCTATAAATATTAAAGGCCTGCTGTATCTTACCACCACCGGCCGCTGTTGTTGACCGCCCCTGTGCCAGTGAGAGAGGAGACCAGGAGGACACATGCCGCTTTGACTGCGAGAAGCAACGCGAGGACCCGCATGATATCTGAAAGGGCAAAGTTAACCAATTAACCTCAAATGACATTCCTGCAATAATAAACGATGTCAGTCTATGTTATGTCTTTCTATATTAGAGGAGCTGGTGAGCATAACAATTGTGAGAAATTAATAAAAATAGCAAAATAATTAGTGTAGTGCAATGGAATTATGATATTTATTTTAGCCTTTTAGCGCACGGCGAATTTTAGTAGCCTTTAGAAGTACGCTTTTGTTTACATATGTGTTTGAAGTTTTACACGAATATCAAAATACTAATGTCAGGATTCTGTATGTGGCTCAACTAAAAATAGTCTATACACTTATAAAGAAAAAAAACTTTAAAGGTTTAGAGCGAACATAGTCCAAATGCCATAAATAACTTTTTTATAGTTCTTTTGAACACCATATGATGTTTTAAAGAAAATAGGAACTAATATGCTTATCTAAAGAACCCAACATCAAGAACGTTTTAGTCTCCAAAGAACCATAGCAACACACGAAACCCTATACTGTCCAAAATGATTTGTGGTGCTATAAAAAAACCTTTATTTTTGACATTCTAAAATTAAATAATAATAATAATAAATAAATAAGCAATTTGGTTGCATTACGCATCCACTTACCACTCCACATTCCAGTGCGACTGACAGCGCGGGTCAATGTTTATTCATAAAATCAGTGTAGAAGTCACAGAAAGGGTTCTGGATGGGATGCCAGTGCAACTGCTGCTGCTGCTGCTCTTACAGTCTGTGTGTTAGTGATGCTCTGCTCACAGCACTGAGCGCGTGGGACAGTCCCGAAGACCTGATCCCCTCGGTGACTGATAGGCGACACATTGTTCACTTATTGAACGCTACAAGATGAATAAAAAAAGGATTTGCTGCTCTCATCTCCCTCTGTTTTTTTTTTCCTCCCTCCTTTTGAGTGGAACTGAATGGACGGATAGCTTAATTCTTCTCATTGGGCACAATGAATACAGGAGGCAAAACCCGACATAAAGGAGAGGAGATGAAGAAAAGATCCGTTATAGGCGCTTTAAATTACATATCATTTTGTAATCCTCGTCCAGAGATTCCTCAGATACATTCAAGCGAAATCATATAAAATACAGTTCCTTCAGGCGTCTTCAATATATGCAGAGCAGATTTATTCCTTCTCATTGCAGTGAGTGTGTGCGCGCGCGCCATTTGTGTCTTCAGTTCCTTCTGCGTGGTGGATGGTGTCTCGACACGGTTACTGTAAGGGAATATAAAACATCTAAACTGGCTTTTTTTTACCCGGAGTGCATGCATGCATTACACCCTTAACTGCGTCTCCTCCCTCTTTGCGCGTAAAAAGTGTTTTTATAGATGTCCATGCTTGCGCTCTGCACTCACCCGTTTGTACACGTTTAGCCTGAATATGGCACATCAAGTGGAAACGTCATGCTATGATTATGGTAAAAAATCTGGGCTAAATGAAAAGGAGAATATTAAAGACATGGGGCAGTGCTAATGCTGCTTCAGTTTCTCATTTTAAATGAGGATTGACCGGAGAGTGTAACAATCTTTTGTTTCAAACAACTGCTTTTTTGTGCTGTGTCTCAAATTGTTATATATTTACATATGCCTATAGGCTATATTTGTCTGCAACAAATTAAATGGGTTAGACGTCTACAATGTATCACTAAACTGTGTAAATTAATGTCAACTTCAATGAGGGATGTTGGGTTGTAACGATACATTGATTGTAACAGTAATAAAAAACGTGGACATTTTAAATTGTGCACATTTATTTATTATGGTTATCAAATGTTTTTGTTCAAAATAATTATTCCATCACCAGCCCATCCTCATTTCATTTGATTTAATTCAAAGGTAAATAAATGGCAAACATTTTATAAAATCTCAAAATTAATTCTATAAATCTTTAATTGTTTCCAGAGTCTTACAACTTCTAATAGTAATTTAACCCCATGCAAACTCATTTCTAATTGGTTACACTGATGGTGTTACAACTTGTGTTACAACACTCCCAGTCATCTAATAAGCCATTCTTCGTCGTTTGCGACAACGAATAAAAAAAGAAGTTGTTACATAGATAACTCAACACATCTGAGTTTACAGTGTGACACCACTGGAGAATAGTCATGATAAAACTGTTCACCATCTGGACTGCAGACCTCCCTTGATCGCATATGGTCACTACAGGCACGAATCAAATAGTATTTTGCTGTCAGTTTTGACTTCATACTTGTATGGTAGCCTATGCTATCGTCTGCACAAAGAATTATGATCAAGTGGCAAATATTAAATCAACGTGTTTTAACCATATAAGGTGTTTGATGTCGCCATGAAAGAATCTGGGAGAAAGAGTGCGCACTTTTTTCTCTGAGGGATTGAAGTAAATGGCTAACTGAAGGAAGTGCGCTTTTGTTAGTGGTATTTAATGAGGGCTGCTTTTCTGGGCTTAGCCTGCTCTTATACTCTTGAAGGATCTTAAACAGGTTTTCCTGAAACACTCATGCGATGCGGCGCAGATTAGCGGCAATCCGGTTAAAGGGACGCCTTTTATATACAAATCAACTTCAAATCACTTTTTAAGCCACTTAGATATACACGCCATGGCAAAATGCTAATGCACTTTTCATTGCTAGAGCTTAAGAAGAGGAATAGAGGTGATTAGCTCCAATACAAGAATTGATCTTCCAGAATAGGAGGTGATTAGCCCAAAACCAAGAACTGTTGTCAGGATTCTGTGTTAAGTATGGTTAAGGGTGGATTTAACTTAATTTCATGACATTAATCCCAATTCTACTACTGTTAATAGTAATATTAATAAAGATAAGACGGTCCTATGCTCCTATAGGGTCAGTTAAAGAGTTTTTTTTTTTTTCACCTGCTGCGCATAGTGCATAGCTGACCACCAACACGATAATCCCTTAATCTTGTAACCTGCTAATGCCTTAAAAATTCTGGTTTATTCATACATTCAGTGTTCAAGTCTTCTTGTATCATCTCATGTCTCAACTAGAATAAATAAATAAAAACACTGACAGCTTGTAGGCTATATTGAACAAACTTATTATGTGCATTATGCATAATTTGTTGGCCCACTATGTAATTGCGCATCCCTTTCAATGAGTTTTGACAAAAACCTCTCCATCATGGTCAGTTATGGGACTAATTATACGCACAAACTCAGACGTGTAGACAAACAAACGAAATAAGTCTATTTTCCAGTAGTGCTCTAGGCTATCTCCGGCTGAAACAGTCAGCAAAGCCTTCTCATTAAGAGTGTCGGGGAAAATGATGAATGTGGGCCTAATTAAAGTGAAACGTCACAGGGCTGCACGGTGAACTGTTGAACTGATTCGGAGTGGGAGGATGGGCGGACACATGAACGCGCACACGCACCTCGCATTGTTCGAGAAGAGTCGCACGCCTGCCTGCTGCTGCCCTGCTCATTGTAGCCTATATGAATGACTTTTAGTTTAGTTTAGCTTATAGTTGACATACATGTTTACGGGGGAGCAAAATGTCTTTTCACAAGTTCTGCAGTAGTGCAGGTCAGATAATAGGCCTAACCTACACTGTAAACAAACAGAAATAGACAGCGGACAAGATACACAAATTAACAGCCTGCAAATGGTAACACTTGACGACAAGTTCTAGAAGTGTAACAGCGATGCATCAAGTTACACACTAGAGGCAGTGTACACCATCAATGAATGTAATTGTACTCGATTTAATGAGTTTGAATAGTTTCAACTCAAATGTAGGCCTATTTAAGTGCAAAAAAAACGGAAATGAATTTATTGCAGATTGTCATTTGACACCAAATGAATTGTTAGCCTAGCCTACTTCAAATTTAAAGCTGCAATTAACATTTTTATTTAAATTTTTTAATTGAAATAGCTGGTTTGACTATTTATTTATTTGCTTAGGCTACCTGTATTATACTTTTCAATTTAATCAGTTATCGGTACGCAGGCATCATTTGGGGGTTCTTCAAAAACGGCACCCGAGAATGCCATTACAACACTTTAACAGGAAACAACAGTAATCACTCACAGGTAAAGCAAATTGCATATTATATGTTGTTGGCATACATTTATTTTTACATAGCAGCCATTTATTTTCAAGTGATCAACAAGGAACGTGTTAAGCCTAGCCTATTGCCCAAAAAGATGACAATAAATCCGCCGTTTAGATCGTAAAACAATTTTGCATAAATGTAATGGCACACATAGCTAGGCTAAACACAATTATAATGTATTTAATGTTTTTGTTCTGTAAAAAGTAGAAATAAATAAAAACAATTAAAAACATAGGCAGCCTAAAAAAATTGGATGGTCAAAATGTGATATGTGAAATGTGTCATAGATAGGCTACCATTGAGAACATGTCTGTTGTCAGTCACGTGTTGTTCAATGCACTTGATACCAAACCAGATTTAAATATAGTCAATGTTATCAATATTGCTTCCATTATTTGAGGCAGTGTTGGACTAGGCTACTGAAAACAACCAATAATTGAGTTATTCATAGCCAGATTTATGCTCATTCAGGATGAATAATATTGGTAGAGATCACTCACATCACATGCAGTTTCAGTAATAGACTACGGAGAATTTGACAGGCCTCGCTACTTTTCAATCGTGTTTAAAGCAAGCGCCTTTAGGCGATGTTTGCCCACCCCGACGGCGCCCCCTCCTCCTCAGTGACACACACGCTCCAGTCCCAAGCTTCATCAAATGCTGCTTGCTCAACTCCGCTCCTCGCACAAACAATTGAAGTCATTTCCAGTTCGCCTATAAAGCGATCCCACAGGTGTTTTAATGTCCCGTCGAGAAAAGCTTTCAGCGCAATGGAGTTACCTCACAGACAGGTTTTGGGACGAGTCCTGATTGTGACTGCTGCGCTTCTGTCACCTGCGTTCACGTAAGTAGAAAGGTAGATCCCTTTCATGGGATCTGCTGGAGTAAATCATCTGTTTGTTTAGGAAAGTCAGGGATTCAAAAACATGATTATGTACAATAGCCTCAAATTGTCATTTGCATGACTATTAGCTATTATTATTTATTAAAATATTGCAGGTAACGTGTACAGAGGCTCTATCTAAAACTAGTAACCTCCTTAGTAAACTACTTATATCTAAAAACGAACTAGTATCTATTTTAATGTAACTTTGGTAATACTTTGTTTTACACTGTCGACTGTCCTTGTTACACGTTACATGTAGTTTCTAAAGTATTTAATTACTATAAATTATGCATAATTAAATGCAACTACCAACCCTAGTAAGTACATGTAGTTAATTAATATTACTTAGTACTTAAATTTATTATTACACTGTAACAAGGACACCTTCGAATAAACGTATAACCGTAACTTCTATATTCATGTTTCTAGTATTTGTTTTTAATAATATTTTAGTATTTGTTTTTTCCAAGTATATCATTTTCAAGTCAATAAAAGGCTACTGATTTATTTACATAGTACTTACTCTTTTGCTACTACTAGACAAGTGACTCCTCCATTGTTAACTGGTAACAGATTGCACATGCTTGCTTGGCATTGAATAAATGGGAATCTGTAGTTCATATACTAACTAGCATGTATTCCAACTGTTGCTGGTACCTGTTTCACTTTTTTTAATAGTAACAATTCATTTTGGTTTTCCTACTAATTGAATAGACACAATTCTGGTAATTGTTACCAGAAAGAGTTTTAATTTTACTGTAACTGTGAAACTTATGTAAGCTCTCTCACTTTTCTCAAAACTGTCAGTGGGCATAATGTATTTATTAACATCAGTGTGCTATGATTTGGATATAATACTTCCCACAAATCTTTTCCATATAGTCATTTTCTCATCAGATTATCCTCAGGCATGCCAAGACACTGATAGAAACCAGGGCGTTTGAATATTCATAGATGTTTTATGTATGCCTCTTGCAAGGTCACAGCCTTGTTTGAGTGTCAGGGCACTTGAGCACACAAGTGTTTCCAACTGCTGAATCTCTAGAATTTGTCACTTTTTTCTTTCCCATATTTAAAATGTTCCAGTAAGCATGTATTGATCATATTATTTGAAATGAATATGGCACCATAAAAACATCCATTCCTTTTACAATATTTTCCTGCGTCTCGCTAATGACTGAATTCATTGTCATAATTTCTTCACATATGTGAGTCATTTAAAAAAGACCACATGTGATGCTAAGTAACACCAGCTTTCTGCAATATTTACTGCATGCGGTGTTACTTCATAATGATATCACTGCTATAAAATTAATTTTCTCCTTTCTCAGGGTACTGGGCAATGACATCCTTGGCCTGAAGGTGGCAGGAGAGCCAGTGCTTACCCCCAACGCAGTGTGTTTACGACTGGCTGGCCTGACCAAAAAACAGATGCGTCTGTGTGTGCGCAGCCCTGATGTCACAGCCTCTGCTCTGCAGGGCATTCAGGTTGCTATTCACGAATGCCAGCACCAGCTCAGTGACCAGCGCTGGAACTGCTCCTCCTTGGAGAACCATGGCAAGTTGCCCCATCAGAGTGCCATTCTCAACAGGGGTGAGTGGATGGCAAAAGGGGCATGGGAAGTGCTGAAGTTGAAGTTGTAGAGAGAGCCAATACAGTCATAATCCGGGCATTGAAATGCTACAAATGCCAGAGAGGCAAATATCAGCGTTGAGTCATTGTTTAACGCATTTGCGCCATGGAAAACATATTTTATGAGATTTTAGATAAAGATTATTATAGATAATTATATCACCAGCTGGCTCGTGCGCACTTCTCTTTCTGAAGGCTCTGTTTACTCTCTTGGCAGCTTTATTTGCTGTGTAAAGGCCCATTCACACTATGGACCATAACTATAAAGATAAAGTTTTAAAAATCGTTCTAAATTTAATAGTGGGCACACCACAACTATAAGGGCACAGTGGAACGATATCATTGGAATCGCTTTTCAGAATGATGAGCAATAAAAAAAAAAACAGCCAATCAGAATCCATCCAACTTTAAAATTCTTAAACATTTGAAGAAGCAGACGACAAAACTGCAGCACAGCTTAGTCAGGTTAGACGCCATATTGAATTTAATGAGGATGAAAATGAGGCTGTGAGGTATAGACATTGGCTGCATCCGAAATCGCATACTCTCTTGAGTAGGTACTTATTTTGAATAAGTAATTACTTCACGGCTGCTAAAAAAGTATGTTCTATGTAGTATACGTGTGTGTAGTATGAATATAATCTGCACATACTACATTCACCATGGTGTCATTATCACGCCATTCATCACTTCACTGCCATTCATAAATCCTCTCCCGTGGCCTCATGGGAGAGTAAAGTGTCCATCGAATGCTCGCTTCAGAATCTCCCCGGAAGTAGTAGGTCATCCGGGTAATTTTTGCCTCCTCTTTTATGAGTACTGTAAATTCAGACATACTTATTTTATCACATACTGTTTTTCGCCTACTATATAGTAGGGAAGTATGCGATTTCGGATGCAGCCTTAGTCTTTACAGTGGCACACACAGTGTACAGGTCCTAGATCACGTAATTTTCACAATTCATCACAACTTGTAAAACTCTTTTATGTGTGTTTTTTTTTAAAGATGTTTCAATCGATATGTTGTTAAACAACAGTAGTCCATTGAACGCACTGTAATTCTATCCCTCACAGCCTCATTTTATTTCCTGCCAAAAATGAATATGGTGCTACCCTGACTAAGGTCTATAAACAGCATGTTTTCGTCCATTAATGTGTACGCTAAAATAGTTGTCTTATCGTTGTCTTATTGTCCTTGGTGTGAACGGCCCTTAAAAGTGCTCTCTTTCATCCCAGGTTTCCGAGAGAGCGCCTTCTCGCTGTCGCTGCTGGCTGCAGGTGTCATGCACTCGGTGGCTTCGGCCTGCAGCCTCGGTAAGTTGCGCGGGTGTGGTTGCGAACGTCACCTGGACGATGACAAAATCCGTCTCAAGTTAACCCAGCTCCAACTTCAGACTTTTCAGAGGAGTGGAGTGTCCATAGCAGGTGCAGGAGAGAACACACCTGAGTTCGGTTCACTCCACGACGGTCTGCCGGCCAATCTGCGCTCGTCCCACCCCGTCAGTCTCCTCAAACCCTTACCAGATGAGGTCACAACGTTACAGGATAGCTGGGAGTGGGGAGGCTGTAGTCACGATGTTCGTGTTGGCGTACGGTTCTCTAGGGATTGGTTGGATTCCAGAGGATCTCCTCGTGATATACACGCTCGTATGCGGATTCATAATAATAGAGTGGGCAGACAGGTGTGGTTTTATATGTTCAAATCTAATAATCATTTCTAATAATCTGTATTGCAATATATGGTCTTTCAAACAATGACAACTGTGTCCTAAATGGGCGTGAAATAATAAATTCATTTTTTTCCCCATGTATATTGGAGTTTTGGGTTGGGATTGTGGGTCAATGACACTGTTTTTTAATCTATTCATTTATCCAAAAACACATGCAAATGCAATTTATACATCCAGTGCATTGAATACACCTAATACATGCATATTTCTAATTCAATTCTTAATGTTTTTAATTTTTGAACTTAAATGTAACTTTTTTGGAGGGACATGAAGTAAAAATGTTCCCCAAAAACATAATTATATTTATAAATGAATCATTTGATAATATTTGTAAAAAAAAATTTTTAATAAATGATATTAAAAATATATATAAAACATTTTTTAAAATAACGATTAAACTGTATGCACATGTATTCAAGATGTAAGAAAAAAATATTTGTATGGTTGCGCTAGACTTTTAGAGTAATTACATTTTTCAATAAAAATATAAAAACCAACGTGGGTACATTTTTAAGAACTTGGTGCATGTGTCACTAAATTTTTAATAGATAGATCTTGTTTTAAACTACTGTCTCAAACCTTTTTTCTTATTGTAGACACTATCACTAGTGCTTGTCAAATTGCTTGTTGGATCACTCATTCCTGGTTAGGACACGGTGTTAAGCATTTGATTACTAACTTTAAAATACACATATACTATATTATTTTTATTATGTCTTTGACCTTAACAGGTAGTTACTGACAACATGAGAAGAAAGTGCAAGTGCCATGGCACATCCGGCAGCTGCCAGTTCAAGACCTGCTGGTATGTTTCTCCTGAATTCCGGCTGGTGGGGTCACTGCTACGGGAGAAATTTATGACCGCCATCTTCATAAACTCTCAGAACAAGAACAACGGGGTATTCAACTCTCGAACTGGTGTGAGCACCGGCTCAGATCAGCTCAGAGGCCGGCGACGCAGCATCTCGCGTGAGTTAGTGTTCTTCGAGAAGTCCCCTGACTTCTGCGACCACGAGCCCGAGGTGGATTCGCTGGGCACGCAGGGTCGCATCTGCAACAAGAGCAGCCCCAGCATGGACGGCTGCGGGTCGCTGTGCTGCGGCCGCGGACACAACATCCTCAAACAGGCACGCAGTGAACGGTGTCACTGCCGCTTCCACTGGTGCTGCTACGTGCTCTGTGAGGAGTGCAGAGTTTCGGAGTGGGTTAATGTGTGCAAGTGAATGACCCACCTTGGTCCATATCTCCATTTCCTTGTTTTTGGACCGGGAGGCAACAACCTGTACCCTGCCATACCGAATGTGACTGCCTGTGTGTTTTGCTCTCCCACGGTGTGTCTGTTTATCCATTTCTCTCCTTCTTTTAACCTCCATCATCTGGGATCCATTTGCGTTGTGTTGCTGTTGTTATTCTCAAAATGCCAAGTCAGAGATTGAGGAGGAGGTGACTCATGTCATTTGTCTTTTTTTCCTCACTTGGAATCTTCAGCCTCCAGATCCATGCAAAAGGCCCAAACGCCATCTGCACTCCTCCAAATAACAAGGCACAACAGCAGGAACAAATTATTCCAGCAAATATAGGCACTGCTGCGATCTACCTTTTTTTTTTTCTTTTTTTTTTCAAAAGTGCACTTAATGTATATTCCTTACTTTGGCAAAATGTTTGAGAAGTTTATGTTGTAATCATTTACGATGGTGAAAAAACATCTGAGTTGGGTTGAGGTTTCAAAACACTGTATCTCGCAGCATTATGATCTTTGCCCACGTTAATCATGAAGAATCAATGGCTATGGTAATTCAATGGAACATTTCAGTGCCATTTCATAAGATGTTATAGAGAAACTTTCCCAAGTCTGGAGCAAATCTTGGCCATCGACAGAGAATGTGCCTTTGCGTAGGGGTCTGAGTTTGGTTGGTTTTTATGAAAACCAGGACAATTGTGAAGTTGATATGCTGTGTAACCCCATCCTAACCTTTATAGAGACATACCAATCAGAAAACGGAGATGGATAGAGTGAAGGAACGACTGGAGAACACTTGTGCCTCCCGTGGATTTTTTTGCAGCTGATTAAAAACAGTCACATCTCATCTCATACTGCTGAACAATATTGGATGCCAGATGCCTTTGATGCAAGAATGGAAGTCCATACTCTAAAGTCCTGTGTTAAGCTGTATTTAAACAGTTGCCATTACAATCTTATTACAGTGAAATTGATGTATACAGTCTTAAAACTTTCAATTTGATTAAGGGATGCTTAGGAAATCAAATTAATTATGGAAAAATTAACTTTCATATATTGCCGCCTTTTGCATTTTTAAGGAGTGTAGAGAATTTATTGTTGTAATATGTTTAGAAAGCCTCAATTTTAATGTTAAGAAACCTTTCTTGGTTTATTGTGTGTGTATAATCACACTGGTTTTAGAACCATGAAAGACCAGAAGAGGGGTCATTTATCTCCGTTTTAGATATAATTATTCTCTTCTGGAGATTTTTTTTTACTGAATCTGACCTCTCATAATGGACAACAGGGATAGGCTTTCATAAGAGTTCTAAGCAGATTAAGGCATGAACCTGTCTTACAGGGATCAGCTGTCCAAAGTTGTGCCATGTGCTGCTGAGTACTGTTTGTCCTTGTCTGTGAATCTGCATCTGCAGCCGTCAGAGACTGGACCACTGTGATTTTCTAACTAAACACAGGCCCACTTCTGATGTCTACACTCTGTCTGAGTTCTGTGATTGCACAACAATCACAAACATCTTAGGAATAAAAGAGTTTTTCTGTATGATTCCTCACAAGACTCTCTAATGAGGATGCGCTGTGGCGACTGGCGATTGAGTGAAGTGACCACCTACGGTCTGCTGGCTTTATCGAACTCGCTTCTTGCGGTATTTCCTCTGGCAATAAACGATGGGAGTGAAAGAGAACTGGAGAAAGAGTGGTGTGGAATGATAAAGCACTAGATATCTGGTTTGTATTTCTTTATTCCTTTATCATTTCACCCTGGAGCTGCTGCAAGAGGGAATTTCCTGTCGTTGTTTCTCCCATGTGTGAGACAGAGAAATTGGACGGCCATAGACACCCCAAACACCTCCCCCTATAATGCAGTGCAGCCAATAACACATATAAAGCAACATACTGACAGCATCAAGAATAATGACAACCAGACTGCCACAGTTAAGACAAAAGGGCATTGAACTATAATGTTGGGTCATATTAAATATTTCAGTTAGTTACCATATGTATAGATAGATAGATAGATAGATAGATAGATAGATAGATAGATAGATAGATAGATAGATAGATAGATAGATCGATAGATAGATAGATAGATAGATAGATAGATAGATAGATAGATAGATAGATAGATAGATAGATAGATAGATAGATAGATAGATAGATAGATAGATAGATAGATAGATAGATAGATAGATAGATAGATAGATAGATAGATAGATAGATAGATGCAATTGAAATAAAACAATATTGGTAGAAGCGGAAATGGAAATATGTGAATATATACTTGGGTACATCAAAAGAGAAGGAAAAGGGAAAACAGCTGGAAACATCTGCTTCTGGGCTCCTTGTCCAGCTACCCCTTCCATTTTTGATGTGGGATAGAGAGAAAAAGAGAAAGGGAAAGAAAAAACAAGGAGCCAGTTACCCAGAACATCAAAGCCTTTGCCTAAATGTGCAAGCCCTCATTAGTTCTGCAAGCCTAACCAACCCGACTTATGATTGTGTTTGCTGGGGTGCACTTTGGCAAACACTTCAGAGGAGAGGCTCCTTTAAATTATAACTCCCCCTTCCCCCAGCCCAGCTTTCCTGCTCCCACCCCTACCCACTGTAGCCTCTTCTGCCCACCCCATAACCCCCAAAACTCCCAGTGCACACAAACACAGCACTCCCCCCCATACAGCACTCCACCCTATAATCTGGTGTGCAGCTGCAAGCATCTGCTCCACTCCCTCTCTCTTTTCCCTAACCACTGAATTGATAAACACATCGATCATAAACCCACTGACACACGGTGGACCAAGTTTCCTTTTCATCTGGACTAGGTCTGGGCAGGCACTGTATGCACAATTACTGTTAAAAAATATATACGAGCAGGCATTTTGAACAAATGTATTGATGTACAAGAAGCACAACGCAGTGACAGGTCCTGTAATAATTAGACCCATTAAGATTTTTGCATGTCATGAAGCTGTGTGTATTTCTTGTAGTATTATGATCTTTACTATAAAGAGTGATATTTTGCTTCACTACTGATAATCTGGCATGCAACCTCTAAGTAAGTAACTACTGAGTTGGCAGCCTGAGGAAATCAGTTGCTGCCAAGTTCTGTAATTTGGCAGCATCTAGTAGGTTACTTATTCATTAGGTTCAGTCATAGCTGAATAATTAATCACAATATGGAAATGTGCTTCCAAACATTTGCAGCAACAGATCCTTCAGTTGTAAATTATCACATAATACACATTTCTGGAGGAAACATTATCAAAATGTACTAGTTCACAGTTGTTGTTTTTTGAGACACAAAACAACTTTACCTGCCAACTTAACCAGATAAACAACATTTCCACTTTAAAATGATTTAGAGATCATCAGAATGTTCTTTACTCACATGCACAATTTAATTTGATTTATTATAGGTTTTTTTGTATCAAACTTATGACATTACATTAATTTACTAAAACCACCTGTCCTTAAACCAACTCAACGCTTGAGATTATTAAACTTAACAAAAAAACAAAAAAAAGCATCTTCCATAGGAACAATAGTAGTATTTACTGATTTAACAAAAAATACTTACACCTCTTTTTATTTATAAAGTTTCACAACCATATCCTCTTAACCGGCAGCTTATATAAATATGTGTAAAAAAATATAAATAATTCAAATCTGCTTTCATCCTGCAGGTCCATGATCTTCTTTAAAATGTAATTTTTCAGTTTAAGAAAACACATGTCGCACTGAACATGTTAGTGAACTCTGGTGAGTTTTATAATCACATTTTAATGAAATGCTTGTATTTTGTCACAAGCATTGTTGGCTATATAAACAAATTATGTAAAAAAAAAAAAAAAAAGTTTGGGTAATTTTCTATAGGCTACTTATTATAATTTTCCTCTGTTCATTTGTAGATATCTTACATCCTCGTTCGTTCATATACAACACCGCTTGCATGAGTTTCATTCATTGACATTTTGAATGCACATACCAGGATACCAGGATGCGCCTCAATGATATCGCGAGATATCATCTAACACACTCTTGCTCATTCCGCTGATATCGCGAGACTGGAGTGACTTGCGTGAAATTATCCGGTGTCGGTCTCCGAGGTGAGTAGCCTAAGGATGCTGGAAAACGTGAAAAAATAGGCTATAATTTCGTCTAAATTACGGTATACATTGCTGGCGAAATGGTATATTTTACATTTAATCTACATTAAATAGGCTACCTGTGTAATTTATGATTTGTCAATACGCAGGCCGGCTTTTGCTGCTATTGTATTTCTACGTCGTGACAAAAAGAAAAGATGTTAACAGTACCACTGCCTAAATGTGACATGCGCCGGTTTACCATAAGAAGGCATTTCTGTTTTGTAAATGATATAATGGAATTTGAGCATCTTTTGCGTAGCCGATTCATCAGCAGCCCACATATGTGTAGGCTGACGTTAGAAATCAATTCTCATATCAAGGTTTTTCTGATTTTAAATAATTGTTTCCATTTGTGTCCATTATGTTAAAACCATATCTGATTCTGAAACCTGAATGTGAACTGATCTGGGATTCAGTAGTTCTGTTGGATTTAAGTTGTGATACAAATCAACAGTCTCAGATTTTCTGGCATTTAAATACTGATGTGGATGTCATCACCATTTTATGGAGGATGTGAGAAACCTCTCTTCCTTACAAACACATTAATGAATTGGTCCATGGTGCATTTCAATCTGTCAAGCAGCACCTGAAATAAAATAATACTAGGTTAGTTGTTCTAATATAAGTGTTTCAAATTGGATATTTTAAAAACCGATGATGCCGGACTGTCGGCTACTAGGGACATAGTCTTGTATTTTATTTTACTGACTGAGTTTTTTCTGTAGATATATTGTCCTTGACTCAGTGTTCAATACACATTTATTTAATCAGTGCATGATGACAGTTATGAGTCATCTGAATTTGCAGATTAGTGCTCTCACTGTAAGGCTAGTTCAAGATGATCTTACATTAACATGACATCACTGATATGGTCATGTGCTCTGGTTCTGTTTTTTTTTTAAGGATTGCATTTTGTTGCAGGCTCTATAACAGCTATATTTTTCCAAATACAAATGAAGCTTTATTAGTAAAGTGTGCAAATTCCGAGCATGGGTTACCATACTTGGCCTTCACGTCATGCCATATTTTCATCTGTATTGCTACGCTAAAGGATTCACTCTAAAACATGTCAAAATGAAAATTGTAGAAATTTTCTGTGGTGCTCTCTGTGAAAAAAAAATATGTTATATGATTTTGCCCTGCCATAGTTAAAGATCATAAATTGCAGAGGGGTTTCTAGAAGAGTCTATAAGAGGAACATTGTGATATTTGTAAGGGTCAGCAACGTGTACAAATGTTACTATGTGAATTAGATCAAGTTAAGAGGATACAGTGTAGGAGTAAGTGCTCTTTTTTTTCTTTCTTTTTTCCTGACAATAAACAAGCCAGAATGAGAACATGAAAACACGAATAAAATCAACTCCCCACCTACCAATCCCTCCCTCCCAGTAAGAGCATATAGGCTCTTTTTGAAAGCGCCTATGCCTTTAACTGGAGGTAAGACAGTTGTCATTTAAGAAAACTGACCCAAGATTTTGTCTTTTTATATAAGTAAAGGCTATCCAGCTACGATGGGAAACATTTTTGGCAACCTTTTGAAGAGCCTCATTGGGAAAAAGGAGATGCGGATTTTGATGGTTGGGCTGGATGCAGCTGGGAAGACCACAATCCTGTACAAACTGAAGCTGGGAGAGATAGTGACTACCATTCCTACTATTGGTGAAGCACATTTTCAGACTTAAAATGTTTAATCGCTTAATCATTGTATTATTTCCCTCTTACACAGAGACAAAGTCTGTGAAGTTATAGACAATGTCTACTCTACTCGTAAAGAAGGAAGTCATGTTTTACGAATCTTGCCAGCTTGTAATTTGTATCCCATTGTGCTGCTTTGTTACTAGGTTTTAACGTAGAGACTGTCGAGTACAAAAATATCAGTTTTACAGTGTGGGATGTTGGTGGCCAGGACAAAATCCGACCTCTGTGGCGTCACTACTTCCAGAACACACAAGGTGAGAAGAGGACTCGTACACACACACACTCACACACACTAAACACACAAATGATTTTAAATAAACAGCCAATACACTTTCCAAATCATGAATCATGGATGTGCCATAAACTAAAGCCTAAAAAGTATACGGTCAGTAAGACAGTATGTTTTTTAATACTCACCAGGCTGCATTTATTTGATCAAATATACAGTGAAATGATACATCATCATATCATTCTAATACTCTGATTTGCTCAAGAAACATTTCTTATTATTATCAATGTTGAAAACAATTAATATACTGCTTAATATTTCTGTTGGAACTGTGATAAAAAAAAAATCATGATTCTTTGATGAATAGAACTTTCTAAAGAACAACATTTATTAGAAATAGAAATAATTTGTAACATTATAAACAGTCGCTACCTCCATTTCATCTCTACTTAAATATCCACCATAACGTGAAAATAATTATTGGCTGTATCAAATCTCAATAGCAGTGCATCCCCAGGTTCCCTCAGGTTGTGCAATTTGTTGTTCAGTGACAGTTGAGTATTGTTCCTTATAGTCCACATATCTCAAATAAATCACAAGTAAGTTATCAGAAAAATATCCATATTTAAAACTTTATAAACTATACTCACTGGCTTCCGGCAACTGTCGTACGTGCGATCATGAGAGAGTTGAGTTCCGGCGGAAGGGTGACTGACGTAGACATAGCGTAAGGTGAGAATTGACAAATGCGGAATCACAGAGAATAGAGCTAAACAAAACGTCGGTCATGAATTAGGAGTCTAAAACAAGAAGTTTTAAAGAAAAATGTTTTAGGATTTTGATATAAGAGAAGAGGAGCTACGTATAGCAAGAAGAAGAAGAAGAAGAAGAGGAGTTACGTCATACGTTGGGTCAGAGGTCACCCTTCCGCAAGAACTCAACTCTCTCATGATCGGACGTACGGCCATTGACAGAAGCCAGTGATTATAGTTTATAAAGTTTTAAATATGGATGGTTTTTTTAATGTGTTCTTACAAAAACCCATCACTTCACTCCAGAAGGCATGTATTAACCCACTGGAGTTTTGTTATGGATGGATATGCTTTTTGGAGCTTCAAAAATTCGGGCACTATTCAATGCCATTACAAAGCTGGGAAGAGCCAGGATATATAACTCCGATTTTGTTCGGCTGAAAGTAAAAAGTCATATACACCTAGGATGGCGTGAGGGTGAGAATTTTCATTTTTGGGTGAACTATTCCTTTAACTGTCACTTTTGATCAATTTAATGGATCCCTGCTGAATAAAAGTATTCAGTTGATTTGTAAAAATTGTACATACGGTACATCAATAGAGGAAGGAAATACCTTTTAAATATAGATTTTGCATTTATATTAGTATAAAGATCATATTAGGGTCCACAAGGGTCTTCATTGTCCCCTGCCCTGTTATTAATTACTGCCTCTCCATAATTTCCCATGTATTTTGAAGGTCTGATCTTCGTGGTGGATAGCAATGACCGTGAGCGAGTGAATGAAGCCAGAGAAGAGCTGATGAGGATGCTGGCTGAGGATGAACTGAGAGACGCTGTACTCCTCATCTTTGCCAACAAGCAGGCAAGAGCTTCCTTGTGCTTCTGCTGTGTTCTTCAAATCAGAGACAATTTATTGATGTTAGCATTGTGTTTGCCATCTACCAATATAACTTTCAAAGCAGCCCTAGTATGTGCATCAGTTTCTATAACCTATGTTGTTGACCGTGGAAACCCATTGAATTATTTTTGGTGATGTCCCTGCTGTTACAGTACAGTATGTGTGGTTAGTGGACTGGTCGTTACATTATTATATTATTGTAGAAAACGTCATATGATGCTGAGCAGTGATCAACATTTGTAAGATGAGAAAATGTTCCTTGGTCTAGTTCCTCAGCGTGCCTGTGTGTGTTTGCCTCCATCTTCCAGATGGCAGAGGTGAAAACAGACTATTTTTGGGCTGGATGAGCTCTCTGATGATTTGCAGAGCTCATTGCCGGTAGTGGTTGTTGAGGTCTGCCGCTGATGTGTTGAGCAGTTTTGAAGGTCTCTTTGATCTGATGATGTGCAGCTGGTGTATCATAGTGTGATGCAGTAGGACATGATGCTCCCCAACACTGACTCTGTAAAAGATCTCTAGAGAAATGTAGGCTTTTCGGTGTGTGCAGGAATTAGACACATCCAGGAAAATGAGTTGAGGACCTATGGGATATATCCTCTTAGATATGGATACTGAGGAACTTAAAGCTGTTTTCCTATATGCTTACTTGTTATAACTAAGAGAGATAGTCAGACTGTCTGAGGTAGGAATACTGATATTACATTATTTGAGAGCTGTTATGAAGGTTCCTTTTCCTTCACAATATATCGGTACAAAATATATATCCATCCTCATTTCCTCTATTGTTACACTTAGGCCTGGTTTCACAGACAAGCCTTATGCAATAGGATTAGGCCTTAGTTAAATTAGAACATTTAAGTAGCTTTTATTAATGTGCCTTAGAAAAAAACCTGACTGGTGTGCATCTTGAGACAAAACAATGGCACTGACATATTTTATTTAGGATATGTCAGTGCCAGTTGCTTTCAGTTAACACGCAGTTTAGTCTGGGACTAGCTTAATCCTAATCACCTAATGCTCACATAATGCTAATATTTAAAAACACTAATTTTTAATTATTAAATGGAATCTTTAGCTGAACTAAAAAAATAATATCCATTTTCAGACTGCACATTATAATGTTGTGATGCCTAAAATCAGTGTGTTTACAACTAAAATTAGTGTTTAATTAATATTTTTGTATTTTATATGCAAATTTAAAGTTAATTTTTTTGTTTTTTTGTTTTATGATTTGAAATGTATAATTTATTTCGACAAAATAATATATAATTTTTTATTTCCACCATGATATGAAAATAATTATCAACTATGTTGGCCAGAATTTTAATAGCAGTGCATCCCTATAGTTCCTTTGTGAATCGTTATAATTTAATTTATATTTTAATTTTAAATGAGTAAATTATTTAGACAAACCAGTATAGAATTTTATATAGTATAGAAGTCGGTATGAAATGAACCTTATCTATTTTGTAAATGCATGTTAGATTTTATTGTGAATGATTCATCCATCCATTTATATGTTTCATTTTTCATTTTCATGTTTAATTAAAATGTCATAACTGGACATCTTCCGATGAAAATGACTTCTCTGTGGTGACATATGCCGGACTTCTCCAAACATTTAGTCCGCTTAAACCCCGCCCATTTCTTACTATCAACTGCGAGCTCACAATCATTTTTGAGCGCAACGGCCGAAATCCAATCAACGACCGGTGGACAGAACCAAGTCTCCGCCTCACATTTTTTCTTTTTCTGATAGTCCAGACTCCAGACCATTACACTTGTCACAATGCGGAAGAAAAAATCAGTCGCTTTCTCCATTTCATCTCTACTTTAATATCCACCATATTGTTCCTTATAGTCCACATGTCACAACTAAATCACAACTAAACTATCTATGTAGGCTGTATCCATAGTAAGATATGTAGTTGTGTATGTTTCTTTCTCACTCTACAGGATTTGCCAAATGCAATGAATGCTGCAGAAATCACAGATAAGCTGGGTCTCCACTCCCTGCGCCATCGTAACTGGTACATCCAGGCCACTTGTGCCACCAGCGGAGACGGCCTATATGAGGGTCTGGACTGGCTGGCCAACCAGCTCAAGAACAAGAAATGAGGCAGGCTGGATCCAAGTGCAACGGTTGGGAAAGGTGTCACCGGAGCGGCAGCTCATCAGGGAGCACCAGTGGTTTCAAAGATTCTTTCATTCTGTTTACAAGTTATGACCAACGGGAGTCGGGTCATCTTAGACAGTGTAACCCCACCTGACAAATCCGTGAGATGATTGGGGTAGCACCAGCACCCATGATTCATATTCATTTTTACAAGTGAAGATGTTTTCCTATTCTTATGTGATTTAAACATCTCAGTTTCTTGTGTCTGTACACTGTACATGTATAAAAGACAGGGAGTGAATGAAAAGCTTTTACTTATATACTTCTATGGAATATGGAGGTATCGCTTAAATGCAGGTCATTTAAACTATATTAACTGCACTGATAGATGAGAAACCTGTTGATTCAGTTTCCTGAAATATTTAAATAAAATCAACTGAAATAATACTCTGCAAACAGTTGAGAAACATGTTGTGATTTTTGCTATAGTGTTCTTGTTTTGCTACTGAAAATGAAATAGAAATGCATTGTGATTTGTTATTAGCATATCAGCCAGACTTCATGACTGTCAGTGTTACACAGAACGTGTCCACACAATAACCAGGTCTCTGCACAGGTTGCTGAGCAAGCTTTGGTTTGTAAATGCAGGAGCCGACTGTGGATCTCTTCTTTCGGCATGCGTATTTAATAGCACTGTTCCATGTACAAGAACTATTTCTTTTGTGTAGCTGTTTCTTTCTGTTCTGCTGTGTTGCTAAATGCACGTTTCACCGACTATATCCGCTGCTATTACATGTTTGTCTGTGTCGTGCCGTGTACGTGTAGACATGCTCATTGAATGTGTCATCACTTGTGTTGCATTTATGTTAGTGACTTTTTGCTAGTGTTGCATAGGCAAATCTGAGGAGAAGAACAAGGGTACATCTCTATAGCCATGTGACTGGTGTAGCTGATTTAAAAGCATTTTGGTAACTTCACACAAATGCTGAAAAGAGTGTCAAAGTGACTATACAGTATAGTCACGGGTACTAATAGACTCTAATATGGTTGTGTGTGTACTCTCATGAATGACTAAGTGTGTTTATATATTGCACGCTTAATAAAGTATGCATTTAGATAATTTAATGTGAATATCTATTATTTCTTGTAAAATGTGTCCAGTGTGTATATTTTTTTTTTATGTTCCTTGCATTGAGATGCGGTCCATCCATTCTGCAAGCATTCAAATCAAATTCTGAATCAACTTAAATAGTTTTCCTAATTTTGCATCTGCACACAAAATCATTTTCAGTTACTTATATTTATCCATATATGCATCTAGCTCCTCAACCAGTGTTACTATTGTTAACTAAAACTATTTTTTTTTTTAAATCATTAATTTCAATAAAGCTGAAATAAAATAAAATAAAAATAAATTTTTAAAAAGTTTTTTTTTTTATTGCTTTGGCACAATATTCACAAGCAATCGGTCCAAAGCTCTTGGTACTAATATCACAACAGATCATCAAAAGTTTTTTTTTCCAAACATTTCAGCATAATTTCAATTGTATAATTGTATCACAAAGTATCGCAGAATCACAAAGTATCCTTTTCATTCATAAAGCTCTTTCTATCAAACTGTTGATTTGCATCTCTTCTCGTTCAGTTTTATAAATTCGTCTATTACTATTATATTATCTAAATTAACTTAATGGTTAATGTATCATTTGGTACACCTATAGTTTGTACAGTATAAAAATCATTATGTCTATGGAAAGTCCCCATAAAACATGAAAACACAACGAGTGTGTATGTGCGTGTGTGTGTGTGTGCGTGCGTGCGCATGAGAGAGAGAGAGAGAGAGAGAGATTTGCAATTTGTGGACTGTATAGCATTAGATTGATCAGAGATACATCAGAAGAAGGGAGACAAATGGCATCAAATACAGCATTTTACATTACAGTATGCCATGTGACACTGTAAACAGATTGCCATGGTAAAGACTGCCACATTACTGTATAACTCACCCTTCCTCTGAAAAGGTCAACTACAGATTCAGTCAAATGATACAGTGAGAGCATTTACTGTATTGGCGGCAGCAAACTCTGTTCTAGCACAAAACCTCATGGCTGTGTCATACACCTTTTGATAACACACTAGATAGATACTATTACAAACAATATGGATTCAGTTACGTAAGTTAGGTAATGTAAATGTATTTTTGAAAAGAAGTTTTGAAAGAATGACTACATGTGTTACAACAATTGTGATCAGTTTGGATTTTTGTAGTTTTGAAAATGTACACCTTCCTTGTGAAAATAGTACACAAGTGTTTTCCAGTTATTACTCTCCAAAAAGAATAATTTTAAAATGTGGTGTAAAATATGGTGGAATAATTATATCTACATACCGGTACATCAATTCGCAATTTGTGAATTGCAATTTTCACTTTAATCTCAACACAGCCCGCAATCCCATTCAATATTATTTTAGTATTGTGTATATAACTAGTATTTATTAATGTTTATTTTCATATTTTTAGTTATAATTTTAATTTTAGTTTAAGTTAAGTCATTTTTATGTGCTTTTGTCATTTGTATTAGTCTTTGCTTTTTTGTGTATTTTACTTAATTCTTTCATTTTAACTTATTTTTTAGTTTTAGTTAACAACAACACTGATCCCATTTAATTCAAATTAAAGTCAGAAGTGTTTAAGAGTTAATATGACAGGTGCTTGAGTACAAATTATAGCCTATGAGAAAAAACGTATTAAATAATAGAACAAAACCACTCAAAAGTCTTTATGACCAAAATGAACCCACATGGCTGACGAAGTTCATCTACTATAATTGCTTCCATTCTAGGATCTTTTTTTTCTTCTTCCAGAACTCAGTTTACACACACAGTCTCTTCAGTCATTCAGTGGTTTAGTATACAATTATAAAATTTGTTTCTGCATTCTGATAACTTTATCTGACACCACGAATGTGATAAATCTTATCTCTGTGTGGTTTTGGGTTTGTGGAAATTTCATAGAGCGTATTGATAGTGCTTCATCTGGTATGTGTGAACACTTATGGCTCAGAAAAGCCTAGAAATAATAAGAAGGGAAGTCTGTTTGTTTAGCAAGATGCCCAGTACCTCACCCCCTTATTCTGTGGCAAATCCCACACACCTCCCCGCCTGCCCTCACAGTGTGTGTCTCCAGGGGCGTGACAGCAGTATGTGGGTCAGGGCTGCTCCCTGGGTTGCCAGCTCCAATGGTCCCCTGCAGGCCGCTCATAATAGCGGCACCATGGCGGGTGCCATAGCTGGGATTCCCTCCCGTAACCGGGGCGCCCTCGCCCAGGGCACAGACTCACTGGCAGCAATGCTGCAATCAATTCATCAATCTGTGATGGGAGCTGCGACCGCTGAAGCCAGGCCAGCCCACTCCTCATCCAGGCAAATGGCCACCAGCAATGAGGCTGAGAGGCAGGATTGGAGAAATCAGGAGCTGGGTGGCGTAGGCTACGGATGATTTTTTAGGGAGCTGTTGAGTTGGGGGGTGTATTCGGTCAAAGCAGACGGCCATAATGAGAGTTGTTTCACTTTGGGCAGGTCCTGAAACAGGTGAAATTAGTACATGCGTCGCAACTGGCAAGCATTAACAAGAGCAAATACACACGCATGTGAACACAATAATGTTACATTTGGAGTGAGGCAAGGCTGTAGCAACCATAATCATTGAAGGAAATACAGCGCCCCAAATATTCCAACAAGTGGTTTATTAATATGGCTTTTCAATGACAGATTTTTAAAGACTTTTATTTTTGTTCCCCCTAATCTTGAATATTTGGCGACTTTCTCCAAAATATATAATGATAGATAGATAGATAGATAGATAGATAGATAGATAGATAGATAGATAGATAGATAGATAGATAGATAGATAGATAGATAGATAGATAGATAGATAGATAGAACCATTATAATAACTACAAATTCATCTCAAACTGGCATCTAAAAAGATGTTTTAGATACATCTTTCAACATTTATCCGATGTCTCCATCTGCTGGACAACAGACTCGAGTGTGACGTCACTCAATTGGTTCTGGATATTTACTCATTTTCGTTTATGGATTGGTCTACATTTTGGAAAGAATATACAGTATTTTTGTTTAAAATCTTCCACATAATAACTACTGCTGTTTGCTTCAGACATGATATAACAGTCCTTAAGAAAAGTTAGCTTGGTTTTACCCACTGTAGCACTACACTGTACACTATGTAAACACAGTAATAAAAGTAAAACTATTATGAAATATTTGGCAGTAACATGTTAGATTCCTGATTTAAAAAATCCCTAGCAGATGTAGAGTTTCTACATTTGTGTAGGCTATATAAATTAACAAGCTAGAAATGTGTAGTTATTTGTAGATATTGGTGATGAGCTATGCATGGTTATAAATAAATTAATAATTAATGGAATAAAAACAAATAAATTTGTAGTTGTGTCAATATTGTTTAAGCATTATTTTTCATAATAAACACGATTTCCATTTTTGGAAACAATAGTTAGGCTACATTGAGCAAACATTGATGAGGAGCTATTCATGGTTTTATACCATGTTTTATACTTAGGCTACTTACTCTACAAGAACCAACCAAATAAATAAAAAAATAAAGTGCTTATTAAATAGATTTTTATTTTTTGGGGGGGGGGTATACGGGCTAATCTGAAGTCTCTGCCGTCCGAAGGAAGACCGACAATGCGAAGCAACTTTATTGTTCCCTCTCCCGCAGACAGTGGTCGCTGCACGGGCGGATTGGGATGGATTTATAGCAAGGGAAATCGCTGCGTTATGAATTTCATAAAATCTTTGCTTCTCGGTTGTGGACTGTATTCTTTCGAGATTTTGCCAGATTTGTTTACTCACTCTCCTCTGTTGAATACGTAAGAACGGAAGAACTGTACGGTTTTTGAAAGCATCTAGTTGTTTGTAAAGCAGGCCGCGCAGTCCTCGGATTTTCCCAAAAATTCGTCCGGCATGGTGCGCTCGGCCCTCGGTACACTTGCGGCATTTCACACCCGGTAAGACCCGATACTGTGCGGGCTGCAACAAGTCCTTTTGTCTTGCTATGGGTCGAATAATCTCAACTCCCTATTTCATATTTTGGCTACATTTGAGGTTAGATTAGTGAGTTTGCTCAGTAACGTATCGTTGTTGTATTGTAAACACAAAGATTCATGTAGACGTTGACGAGCATGCTACAATATTAGCAGCTAAGCTAGCTACCAGCTCTTATGTTTCAACAAACTGTTTTCTGCTATCACAGACCGCGTTTCTAAACACTTCCAAAAATATATATTTTTTTCATTTACAAATTCAGGGGATAAAATTAAAATAAGTATGCATTGCAAATTATAGCTTTTATACTTATCGTTCGCATCGTCCCAGTGGAAGTCAGCTTTATCTCTGCAGCTCTAACCTATACGATTTAACAAGTATTACAAAGATGAATATTTAGTGTTTATATTATTACTTTGCAATTTATTTGATTATTAATTTTAAGTGTCGCTTTCATAAATGTGTAGTTTTTTCCACTATAATGCATAAAATGTATAATGTGCATTAAAGTGTTATAACTATTAACTCTAAACCCAAATACCTCTCTATCTGTAACTCTCTGTAAATGAACAACAGCACCAGATAGTCTAGGGCCAGATGTTTTAGGGATAATATTTAAAATTCTGCACAATTTGATCATACAGTATGTAGTTTGCGCTGTTCGCCTTCATTGTATAGCTATAGAGGCTTGTTTGAGAATGAATAGGAACTTGCTTCTTTTGAGTCTGTTAACCATAATAAAGGCAGCTAGTGCATTTATGTAATATTTTAGCCAAGCAGATGAATTGGTTAACCGCTGACTGAAACAATTTTTACAGATATTACTCTTAAATGTAAAGTGCACTTAATTTTTTGCTGCAGTTTGGGTACAAGAATATTTTTTATCAGCAAATTCTCCTTTGCTCTCTCAACAGGCGCCGAACCATGATGTGCACCTAGCGCCCAGTTCGACTGCAGTGGACGTAGTAGTGAAGCTTTCTAATTTACGATTGACTGAGAGCTGTTGTCACTGCCAGCATACTTCATATACAACACTCTACTGTAAATATAACAGCCTTTACAGCACTGCAAGCTGATTTGTGAACCGCTCTGAAGTGAAGTTGACTCTCCACAGAGGCAACTAAGTGAACTGTGGTGCCAAAACAGAAGCAATACCATATTATTTAAGACTTTTTTATATTGACATTTGGCCAGGGACTTTAGAATGGCATCTGTTCCCGTTTACTGCCTGTGTCGTCTCCCTTACGATGTCACCCGATTCATGATTGAGTGTGATGTTTGTCAGGACTGGTTTCATGGCAGGTGAGGTTGCCTTTTGTAAATTACAATTTAAAACTAAGTCACCTTTTTTTTCTGATTTAAATTATTTGTATTGTATTGTAATTTACTATTTGATCTTCTGTAGTTGTGTTGGAGTGGAAGAGGATAAAGCGGCAGAAATTGATCTGTATCACTGCCCTAACTGCCAGGTGTCACATGGACCCTCTGTCAGTAAGTGTGGCATACGTCGTAAAATCTGTAAACATTGGCTATAGTTATTTTAAAGTCATTAAAATAAAGTTCTAATAGTGTTTTCTTTCCTATTGTGATGTATGTCCATGTAAAATGGCTTATTGAACAAGAAAAAATGTAGGGTGGGACTTAACTTTGTCACTTGCTATTGCTGTGTCCCGCCCTCACAGCTTTTTGATTAAAGATTACGAGGGCACTTGAATTAAAAAAAGTGTTAATGATGCGCAATTATAAAGGACTTAAAATAAACTGCAATGTTCCCTAAAAAAGTTAATTGTCAATTTTGATATCCTGGTGACTTTAAATCAAGCGTAGCGTCAGTTCTGGCAGGTCATGTTAGTCAAGCTCGCATCAGCTGACTCTCAGTCTCAGCTGATCCACGTCTACCTATAGGAATACGACACCTATCACTGTATACATATATAAGCTCCTTCAGTATTATCAGCAGCTATCGCATTTCTCAGGAGCTAATTTCCCTCCTCCATCCCCAGCTCCTCCTCTCGTCAGTCAGGATTGGGCATTCTTATTACCCCTGAATCAGTCTAAAATTCTCTAATTATGTTGTACATTCAAATTAATTAATGATATCTGCAATACATTTATGTTGGTTCTGTTCTGTGGGGGGCGCAGGGACTACTTGCCCAGAACAGAACCATACTGCCAATCCAAACTGTATGCTAATTGTCAATCGTATTTGACAATAGTGGTCCTGACGGAATTGGTATTTTGTAGACTTAACTTTGTTGTGATAATTAATCAAGCTCAGCGAGTAATAAAAATAGACAGCAGAACCATTTACACCCTCATTGTGGAACACAAACAAAATACAATTTTAAACCAAGAAGCTCAGAATGGACTAGCAAACCTATAAACTTGCATGATTGGTAACTAGGATATCTTCTTCTCTCTAAGTGCGTAAACGACGGGGGGCTCCTAAGCATGCTGATACTAGTGTGGGGAGAGAATCAGGACGACCTGTGAAGACGGGCAGTGCTCAGTTTGTCAGGGAGCTACGCAGCCGCACTTTTCCCAGGTATTGTTTATTCATGTTATCTCTTACTGAGTTACAGGACACTTATTGCAGGGTCAAAATTAGGCCACTAGGTGACTCTGCTTTCTTAACCCAGATTAATTTAGCTCTGATCAGACTTGAAGCGATGATTCATACCACTCAGCTTGGGTTTGCAGTTTTGCACCTCTGGTGTTATTAGATTAAAAAAAGTTTCGAAAATGCACAGTGATGAGTATGCTGATATTTTTAAATGTTTGTATTTAAGTGCTGATGAAGTCCTGCTGAAGCCAACCGGGGCCCAACTCACCGTTGAGTTTCTAGAGGAGCGCTCTTTCAGCGTCCCGGTCCTGGTCCTCAGGAAAGATGGCCTGGGCATGAATCTGCCCCCGTCGTCCTTCTCTGTATCGGATGTAGAGCATTATATTGGTAAATAACTCACATCTGCAGTGCCATTCTGTGCTACGTTTCCAGTCGCATGTTTGTGAAAAGTCATGTTTAGATAGGAATTTAATGTCTTACAATTGTGTCATAGGAGCTGACAAGGAAATTGACGTGATCGATGTCGTCCGCCAAGCAGACCTGAAGATGAAACTGGGAGAGTTTGTGGAGTACTATAACAGCCCAAACAGAGACCGAGTGCTGAATGTGATCAGCTTAGAGTTCTCAGACACCAGGTGCTTTTTTTGGGATGTGCTAATTTAATCTGAATGTGTACGGCTGTAGCAGCGGTGCATTGAAGTCAGCTTGAAATAAAAAATCTGTTTTCTAAATGCATAAATGAATCATTACTGCATTTTTTTTTTTTACCTTGTAATTTGAAAAATTTCTTCCTGTGAAACGACAACGAAAGCAAAAAATATTTTTTGCAATTTCAGCTATGTCTTTAAAGGGGTTGAATTTAAAGAGTTAAATTAAAGAATTTAAAGGCAACTTTTCCTTGCGGATTTATCTGTGCAAACTGTCTAACAGTTTTTGTGTCTGTTCTTAGGTTGTCAAATCTGGTGGAGACACCAAAGATCGTGAGGAAGCTGTCATGGGTGGAGAATCTCTGGCCTGAGGAGTCTGTCTTTGAGAGGCCTAATGTGCAGAAATACTGCCTGATGGGAGTGAAGGACAGTTACACGGACTTTCACATTGACTTTGGAGGAACCTCTGTGTGGTACCACGTACTCCGGGTCAGTTATTCTCTTTAAATCGTGTGCATTGCATTATCTGTGGAGACAGCTGGAAATGCATTTGAGAGGAGTAACTGCATTTCATTACTATAGAAAGCATCATGCTTTGTCTTCCAGACAAAAGAGGTATTATATATTTGTTTTTATACATGTCAGGGTGAGAAGATCTTTTATCTCATTCGTCCCACTGCTGCTAACCTGTCCCTTTTTGAGTGCTGGAGTTCATCCACCAATCAGAATGAGCTGTTCTTTGGGGACCAGGTAGACATGTGCTACAAATGTTCAGTTAAGCAAGGAAACACCCTCTTCATCCCAACAGGTACGATGTCTGTTTCTGCCAGTAGTAAGATGCACTGGGATTAATTTCAAAATAAACTTTTAGTTTTGATATCCTGTGTGACTGAGAAACTACATTTAGATTAATAATGTTGATTCTTTCTTTGTACCTTAATTGTTTGCTGTCAGGGTGGATTCATGCTGTCCTGACCCCTGTGGACTGTTTGGCATTTGGGGGAAATTTTCTACACAGCCTCAACATTGACATGCAGCTTCGGTAAGATGATGCGTCTGTTCATCTCCTTACGCTAAGCAGTTGTGCTCTGGGCTTTTTCAGTGGTCAATTTTCCCTTTCTTTTCATCAGAGCATATGAGATAGAAAAGCGTCTGAGCACGGCAGACTTATTCAGGTTTCCAAACTTTGAAACGGTGTGCTGGTATGTTGGCAAGCATCTGCTCGACACCTTCAGAGGTGAGGCTTCTCCTCATAAAGCAAATGGATTTTTTCTTTACTGCTTATTTTTACTTTTAAAACAACAGTCTTTCATGTACTTTCATTTTTCTGTTTTTCCAATCCACTTAAGGTCTGAGAGAAAATCGACGGCATCCTGCCACTTATTTGGTCCACGGAGCCAAAGCTCTCAATAATGCTTTCCGTAGCTGGACACGGAAGGAAGTAAGTTTAATTATATTACATGTAGGACTTGTGATTAATACGGTATATACATTATATACCCATGATATATTCATATATTTAAAGTCAAGTAAAAAAACAACAATGAATCAGTTCAGCCATGAATCAGTTCGAACTGTTTCATTTAGTTCAATACACTGTGAATATATGTTGGTAAATATTGTTTATATTTGGAGCCTATAAATGAAATATTTAAGGGATAGTTCACCCAAAAATAAAAATTCTGTCAGTAATTACTCACCCTCATGTTTCAACCCTGTAAGACTTTCGTTCATCTTCGTAACACAAATTAAGATATTTTTTATTAAATCTGAGAGCTGTCTCACTCCTCCATAGGCTTCTCTGTAATTGAAACTTGCTGGCCCAGAAAGTTAATAAAGAAAATAGTCCAAGTGACTACAGTGGCTCAACCATAAGCTTATCAAGCGACGAGAATACTTTTTGTGCGCAAAACCTCCCAAAAATATTTATTTTTATTCAACTTTATTCAACTATTTATTTTCTTCTGTGTGCGCTTCTGTGTTGTACGCAGGGCTTGACATTAACTCCCACTAGCCACTTTGGCGAGTTGAAAAATTGTAGTCTTGTCAAAAGACATCTGACATAAACAAATTGCTATTTGACACTACAACTCCCATGAGTACTACAGTGGGTACTCAACCAGAATAATACTTTTACCGCCGCCGCTCCCGCGGCGGTAAAATTCTGGTGTGTATTTGTTGCCTTTTACCGCTAAGAGGCGCTACAATTACAGACTTTGAAAAGTGTCAGTTTATTCTCTCTATTGCATAATCTGCCGCAGAGCCGCTGCTCATTCAGAGCGATTGTAACCTGGTAACAGATGATTTCAAGTGAAACTTGTAGTTAAACGAATTCATAATCACAATAGGCCTACTGAAATTAAATTGAATAAATAGTGAAAACATTTCAACATAAAACATTGCAACCGAAACATATTAGGCTATCAATGAGGGTTTGGAAGAGCATAATACACTGTTTAACAGCGTTCAGATGATAGCTCAGTGGTTAACGCAACAACATGAGCCTCACTACGCTTCAAACGATCTGAGATCGAATCTCATGGAGCCAATTTGCTGTTGGCCGAATTCGTTTATGTTTTACCGTTCTTGATGCTTAAATAGGTAACTGTTTATTAGCGAGTTGAGTTCATTAACTGTTTACTTATGTAAAGTCAAGAGTTTTGTTTAAATTATCAATGGCAAATTACAACATAAATTTGCTACATTCCAGTAGAGCCGCTGCACGACAAAACTGATGAGGGAAGATTAGCTGATCGCGTCAGAAAATGAAAATAATGAAGCTTGTCTTTAATCTGCTAAATTATTGTTTTGTGAATCATTCACGAAATTGAGGTGATAGACAGTGATACCCGACCATAGCAACGGAAGAAATTTTTCAAAACAGATCCATAAATTGAACAAATCAGAAAAGACTGATTTTGTTGACTTGGCTACACAAAATAACAGACTAACTAAATAGTATTGCTTTCAATATAAAAACAAATGAAAATGTAAAAGAACACTAAAATTAATTAAGTATGAAACCCCATCGCACATTTTTAAGGTTTAAATAAAGTGGGACAGTTTATTTGTTTAAAACAGCTGGTTGCATTGAGTTTAGAGTTTATTTCCTTTGCGATGCAAAATAAGAAACACAGAATCTTATTCTTGCAATATTTTAAATTTGTATTGCCAAAGAAATTGCAGCTTAATTAAACAATTAAAACAGTACAAAACGAACAAAACGACATAAATTAAGAACATGTGTTTTTCTTTGCCTCTCTCGCGCTGGATCTCTTTTTAGCAAAGTTTATTTTGTCTCCCTACAAAAAAAAAAAAAAAAAAAAAAAAACAGTAACAAATTATTTTGCCTTTGTTGCTTCAAAGACACAGCATGCCTTGTTGTATTCACTTACAATAAAACGAGGTTGAATTAAAGAGCTCTTTATCTGCTTCGTTTCGTCAACAGTTAATGTTTAGATAATGCCAGATTGTTGACAATCATACACACTGCTTCAAACATTCTAAAACTTTATAAAAACAGTTGAAACAACTGGATTGAACACTTTAATTTAAATTTTGTGTGAAAAACTTTAAATACAAAAAATACACTGTATTTATAATTAAATAAGATATAGGGCCTACATTTGGACACATCGAGAGATTTATCCTTAAAAGAATTTAGCCTTTGCCTGCTCATTGGGCTGGCTATCCGACATCTCCATATGAAAGACGAACATTAACACCTATTGTGCACGCACGATAAAGCCACTGTCCCTCCAAACCCCCACAGGCTCTCTGAATCCGAGACTGACTTAAAACAAGAAGTCGCAATTCACACTTAAACCGCTATTAGACATTAGCATTAGGCTATTAAAGTGTTGATAATGAAGGAATTAAATAATGTGAGCTACATGTAGTGATATTTCTGTCATGAAACTTTATTACTAAATATTTAATTTCAATAATTCATTCAATTTCAATAAGTTTTTCTTTTTTATTCAAATAAATCTCGAACCACAGTGCTTCGTTGTGCTGCTGTTAAACTAAATAACATTTATAGAATAATTATGAACTTAAATGAAACAATAGCCCAACATTTCGACAAATAAATTATTTGATTTGTTTTTACATTTTAATTCAGGGCGATTTAGCCTATTTAATTAGAGCGAGATTTTCCCCTTGCCTTGTCCTTTCCTCATTTCTAAGCGCTCACATAGTTAAACATGTTTAAGTAGATCCTCGGCTTTCGGTTCAGTTTTGTGACGAGCAGTTCCCGGAGACAGAGACGACAGCAAAAATGTTGTTAGCCTAATATGAATAAAAGTTTACTAGTAGCCTATTAAGTTATTTTAGCTGTTATGAGAAAAATAAATCCAAGTGAACGCGCCGCCGCGTTTGTCGAACACTAATTCAACATAATAAAACCCGACTTTAGAACAATAGCGACACTCGACGTGATGTGCCAAAACACTTCAATATTTCATTCAAAATAATCTCAAAACGCTTTGTGACATTTTGAAAAGCCGTGCATAGGGCCTACATTAAGGCCACTGGAACCACGAACGTAGGCTACTGTAACTGAAACGCTGGTTTTGATTTTATTGTTTGTCGTTTAAACGTGCCTGTTGCATATCTTTATTTTATATATTTTATATGGTCTATTGGTGAAGTAGCCTAAGCCTATTAGCACTGATTACTGCGGAGGAAGGGGGTGGGGGGTTAAAATAATTCAGCAGAAGCAGGGATGTTTAGACCAGAAGGAAATCCCCGTCCCCCCTGGCAAATCGCACCTTGCTTAAATAAAAACTCAATGTAGGGAATCCAAAAAATAGGCTATATAGGCCTATCGGCTATATACATATATATATATATATATATATATATATATATATATATATATATAATTTTTTTTTTTTTTTTTTTTTTTTTTTTTTTTTTTTTTTTTTACAGAACTGCTTTTGAAATTACGATTGGTATTAGATGTTAAGTCATTCTGTTGGATACTATTTGTTCCAGTGTAAAATGGAAATGCATGGCAATTTTATTTTATAATATAAGCAAAAACTAGGCCTATATGGTGCATAACAGAGTTTTAGAACTAGACAAATCTTTTTGCATTAATAATAGGATATAAAATGCATTAATAGGCTAATATAAAATTGACAAAAGTCCATGTTTGTGCGGGATTTGAACCCGTGTCATCTAAATGATTGAATCGTAAGTTCTTCCACTCGGCCATGAATTTACTCACTGTGAAATGCCCAAACGTTTGTTTCTCCAGTGTGTTCGCTCACATGAGCGAGAAAACGTTTTATCGTTAGCATATTGTAGACCTTTTACTGTTTTAAAAGATGATATCTTATCTGTATGACCAAAAATTACGGAGTAGGATAGCTTCTATCCTAGATAGTTCTTTTAGCTGTTATGAGAAAAAATAAATTCAAGTGAAAGCGCCGCCGTGTTTGTTGAACTCTTATTTCAACATGCCAGAATAAAACCCGACTTTAGAATAATGCGTAGCGCCACTCGGCGTGATGTGCCAAAACACTTAATTATAAACTTCAATATTTCATTAAAAAAAAACATCTCAAAACGCTTTGTGACATTTTGAAAAGCCATGAATGTATTAAGGCCACTGGAACCAGGATCGTAACTGAAACGCGCTGCATGTTATCTCTCAATACAGGAGCAGAAGCGCCGGTTCAGATTTTATTGTTTGTTGTTTAAACGTGCGTGTTACATATTTTAAATATATATATATATATATATATATATATATATATATTTGATATGGTCTATTGGTGAATTAGGCAAAGCATTGATTACTGGGGGGAAATCCCCCACCAGCATAGCACCTTGTTACACAATGTTTTTAAAAACGTAGCCTATGGAACCCCATGAAGTTTTTTTTTTTTCTGTTTTTTTAACAGAACTGCTTTTGAAATTACGATTGGAATTATTATACAGATTGATATAAATTCAGTCAATCTGTTGGATAATATTTGTTCCTTTGTGTAAAATGGAAATGCATGGAATTGTATTTTATAAATAGGCTACCCTGTTTGGACAGGATTTTAACCCGTGTCATCTAAATTATTGAAACCTAAGTTCTACCACTCGACCACAACTTTTCTCACTGAAAATTTCCCAGAAGTTCGGTATTTCAGCAGTCAGTGCGCGCACACGAGAGAAGCGCTGTTCAATCATCTCGTTCCTCAATAGTTTAGCGTCATTGCACCTAATTGCGAGAGAGGCCTATTTTAAATTTTGATTCATAAAATGTTCTGCTCTAAAAGTTTGTTATATTCTGTTTAAATGTAGCCTACTTTTACTTTACGTTTTGCTTTCGTTTAATTTAACTGAATCTGTTAGCCTATAGGTTAAACTATTTATATTTGTATTATTTTTTTGTTCTAATGGTTTGTTCTATTCTCTTTCGTTTGTTTATTTTAATTTTATTTTTTTACATATTCAATCAGTCTCAACTATTTCATCCTTACTGTTAATTGACATTAGCCCGTTTCAAAATGCGGCAATTGCGGCTGTTTTGCTAAATGCCCCTTTGCGCCACCTGGCGGTCATTTCGCGAAGGACTTTGAAATGCGACTAGTTTATTTTTGCCGCGGTGGATTTGCCGCGGCACGAGTCGCGGCGGTAATAGGCATTCTGGTTGAGTACCTACTGTACCTGCACATAGTCTAGTGTTTGCTCATTGGTCCATTCGTGAATCCTCTTGAACGACAACACTGTAAACAAGAAGACACGCAGAGATTAAACTCGCGGACTGGCCGTCGGACTGAGGGCTGTTTTAGTCTGCCCTTAATTACCAATTTAATGTGATGATATAGTCACCTTTATTTATATAGCGCTTTTTACAATACAGATTGTATATAGCGATCTTTTTTAATAGCAGGAGAATCCAGACCACATGCGCGTCTCACACTCTCCTGCAGTGCCGCTGCGCGAGGGTGCGCACGCCAAATATGACATCCAGACTTTTGTCGCATGGCATGCACACACACATCAACACAGCGTTCAGTCAGTTGGTGAGTGTGCGTGGCCGATATAAAGAAAAAATAATCTTCATGATTAAGGGACACGGTGTAACTACTAGCAGGGCTGCCCTTATGTCACGTCATATCACAACTATCTTTCCAGAGTTAATTCTATGTTTTAATAAAATTAATCATGCCATGAAAGAAAGCAGGAGATGCGTTTGTGGGAATAATCTGGAAAATAAAGACCTGTAGGCCTATACTTGTTTCAGGTGTACATATCTCCAGTTAATCAGAGCTACCAGAGCTTCATGATGATAATTATTAAGTCAGAGCTCTGAGGAAATGCTGATGCAAAACAAACAATCCAAAGTCCCCAAAACTGTCAAATAGGCCTATATAAAGTTGTAATCCTGTTGCCTTAATTGTGGATTTTTTCTTAGAAAAAATAATTTATTCTTTGCTCGTTGTTTCTAATGCAGATAATTGTTACAGTAATTACAGTATTTACTGCTGTAAAAAAAATAAATGATGCAGCACTTTTATTATATACAATAAGAAGCTATTTTATGTGTTTATCTTAATAGACAAAATGTTTTCAAAAAAGGAGCTTTACAACCTTATCAGAGCTAACTAATGATAATATTAGTACATTCTAGCACGTTTTAAGCCCCATTGTCAACTTTAATCATATAAATCGTAATTTTCCAACAACAAAAATTTGGCTAGTAAAAATGCTGCCGTGGCTCGTAATTTTGGAAAACCACTAGCCACATTGGCTAGTAGGGCTGGGTAAAAAATATCGATTTCTCGATATTAATCGATTCTCATTTTTACGAACCGATATCGATTCTTAAATCTCAAGAATCGATTAGTCATCCTGTTTTCATTTGATGAATGAATGGAACATTGTAGCGCGCATCCCATTCAATAAATCGCAATAATCTTTGTGCTTTGTTACTATTGATACTAAATAAAGTTTCAAATTTCAAATTACGTCCAGTTTCTTACGAAATTCAAAAACATAAATACCGTTTTGGCGTTGTGGCGTGAGATCGCTCTGGCTCAGCTCAAGAGAAGCAGCAGCGCGGAGCGCACATGATTTCCTCTTCCGCCTTAATAATACCAGTTACAGCACGAATAAACATGAATGAACGTCTGAAATAGGGATCGACCGATATGGATTTTTTAGTGCCGATACCGATACCGATTTTTTCCCCATCAGCCTTAGCCGATGACCGATACGGGCTGCCGATTTTCTTGAGCCGATATTTGGAGCCGATACATTTTGCTCCCTCAATTTACATCATAAAAATGACATGATGTTAAAAAATGTTACAGGTCTCAATTTAATAAAAGTAACATTTATTTAACGAAAAAAATCAATATTTAACGAATAGTAAAAACATGTGAGGTAGAACAAGAACAAGTAGATAAACAATATTTAACAAATATTAAAAACATGAGGTAGAACAAAAAAAAGTTCACTGCTGAAAATAAATATTTAAGCATAAATAAAATAATTACACTATTGCACACAGTAGCAACCAGCATAATAAAGTGCACAGTGCACACTGTACTTCATTTTAAAAGTAACGAACTATTTACTGCCATGGTTTAAATTTTTCTACATAAAATAAAATGAGCATGTCTAGTCTCTAATATCACTGCGATGGCGAGGGAGACACACACCACACGCGTCCAAACCTCAGCCAGGTGGTCGCTGAATAAATCTTCCACAAAAAGCACGGAACAACGTTGGTATTACTTAATCCTATGACCAGTGTTCGTAACAGCTACCGTACGCATACCAGGGCTGTCAAAATTGCTCAAATGGCATTTGTATATTCCCTTCAAAAAAACATATTTGAACATATCGTCGTGCATTTGGTCAATGACGCGCATTACGTCAATAACAGGACAAATTAATACAAAGAGACATAACTACTAGTATTAAGTAGCTTATTTGAGTTTAAACATATTTGACAACGTATTACTACAAAAAAAAACGAGTAAATCAACTAATGGCCAAGACCGCAGAGCTCACTCTGGCTCGCCCGGACTCGCAGGCGCTCTCTCTCTCTCTCTCGCACTCACCCTCACGCTCTCCGCGCATACCGGTTTAAATGAACAACAACAAACAAATGTTGAGTGCTGATCAAGAGTTTTGTGCAAGCAATTTAAGGTATACAGCAGGCTTCATTCAGTGATTGAAACAAATACATTAATTGAAGTTTCACAGTACATAGAACCGACACTGAGCGCTCCGAGCGAGCTGTGCTGTGGTAACGTTAGTCTGCTACCGCGGGCGTGTTTTTCCACATTCGAATATTAATTTTCACCTTCAAAATTCAGTTTTTTGAAACTATTCGAATATATATTCGTATTTAGAATATTCATTGACAGCCCTAATGCATACTGATCGGATAGCCTACAGCTATTTGCAGCTCCCTAAATACAATGGCAAGCAAGCAGTTTTATAGACGAGTCATTCGCGTTTTCCATTTGGACCCACAAACTTGCTTAGCTATATAGTTGCAACCACATAACAGTTATAGAGCAACGTGTTTCCATTTTCAAAGTGTTTGACAATATTTCAGCAGTCAAACAGTTAAAAGATGCTTTGAAAGTTTAAAGTTACCGTTATCTTGAAGCGCAGGTTGCACTCTGCTAGTGGGGAGGGACAGTGCAGGGTCTGCACGTGAACTGCAGCGTCTCCAGCAGCACAGAGCTGCCTGTGGACGCCTGTCTATAAATAATGCCGGGAAAAAACTATCGGCGAACGCAGCAGCCGCGTATCGGCCGATTCCGATACACGTAAAAACCGCAAATATCGGCCCGATATATCGGCTGGCCGATATATCGGTCGATCACTAGTCTGAAAGTGTGTTAAAAGATAGAGTACAACTTATCGAAATCCGTATCATGTCACATGGAATCGCTCAATCAGTGTTTCAACCGTGGAAAGACGTCAGTAAAAAAACTTGTAAACGATGTCATGTAACGTCACATTTACCTCAGAAAAACCATATGTGACCATAAACTCGTTAGTCAGCTAGAAAAATTAACTCTAAAGAGGAGCATTTTGCTAAATATATGCACCATATTACATATTCATTATAATTTTTTATGTTCTTCGATATTTAATGCATGTTTGAATAAATCTGGCAAGTTTTTATGACAGCCACCATTTAAATGTTTATATTTCATATAACTTTATTATTATAAAAATAAATAAAAGTGTAATTTAAGTGTTTGTATAGCTACAAATCAGTTAATTTTTACCTTCAATATTATAGTAGGCTAATGAAGCCTAGTAGGCTACAACTGACACCCATAGTTTACAGCATTAGTTAAGAGATTTGTTTTCCTTGAGAAATTTTGCCATGTATTGTACCTGATATCCAAAATAATCAATATCGAATCGGAATTGAATCGAATTGCAAGTGTGTGAATCGAAATCGAATCGAATTGTGAAATGTGTGTCAATACCCAGCCCTATTGGCTAGTGAGCAAAAAAGTTAATGTCAAGCCCTGGTTGTACATCAGAACGTAGGCTCACCATTGGCCGACGCTGGTCATGTGTGTGATGCTGGCCAATAGTGAGCCTACGTTCTGACGTACAACCCAGAAGCGCTGCGCTGTTACTCTACGTGAACTCACTCAGAGGCCCACACAGAAGAAAATTAATAGTTGAATAAAGTCGTTATTTTTGTTTTACCTGCACACAAAAACTATTCTCGTCGCTTGATAAACTTATGGTTGTATTGTAGTCACTGGGACTATTTTAAACATTGTCTTTACTAACTTTTCTGGCCTGGTAAGTTTCAATTACAGAGAAGCCTATGGAGGAGTAAGACAGCTCTCAGATTTAATAAAAAAATCTTAATTTGTGTTCCGAACATGAACGAAAGTCTTACGGGGTTGGATAAACATGAGGGTGAGTAATTACTGACAGAATTTAAATTTTTGGGTGAACTAACCCTTTAAATATCTTTTTTCTCTGTGTTCTTTTAGTGAAAAACCAAGTGGAAAACCAGATTTTATTGAATTTAACTTATTTTCCAGTGTAATTCAATTGGGTGTTTGGCTGAAATGGTTTCTTCTTATTGTAAAAACTCACTTATTAATATTAGATTTATGTTGAATTTTGTCAAAAGGCAACAAAAAAATATAGAATCATATCACAAAGAAAATCATATCTGTCAAATAGCCCTGGATTGGATACTAAATTTATGTAAAATTGAAAGTATTTGTTTTACCATTGTTTTATACCATCGTAAACCATTTCATTGCAATTATGTGCGATGACACAAAGCTTATGTTGGTTGTTTTTGTGATATTCAGTCCCTGGCTGAGCATGAACTCGAGATACCGGAGACCATAAAGATCCAGCAGCTAGTGAAGGACTTGGCCAAGGAGATACGGCTGGTTGAGGTGAGAGTAGCTCTGGCCCAGATTTTCAATGAAAATGTAGTGATTTAGGTCCTGCTTCTGAATTTTGTGTCTCTTTTTGCAGGATATCTTCCAGCAGAACATCGGCAGGAGTGGGGCACCCTTTGGTGGCTCTCAGGGTCTTCCCTCTCCTCACCCCAAAGCTCCATTGAACACATCCTTCAATTTTGGCCAGCACCCAGGTAAAAAGAAAGGTCCCAAGCTGAAGGATGGATTTGGAGGAGTGGGCATAGGCCCTCCAGGAGCTAAGAAAAAGAGCCAAAAAGGCAAAGAGATAAAGACAGAAGCCGGAGAGCTGGACCTACTCGAAATTCATACTAAACACACGCTCAAGAAGTTCCAGCCAGGGTGCAAAGTCAAAAAGAGCAAGGTAGAATTTCTAAAACATTTCTATTTATTAATCATTATAATGTTTATTACATTACCATTCAAACATTTGAGGTCAGTAAGAAAAAAAAAAAGTAATACTTTTATTCAGCAAAGATGCATTAAATTGATCAAAAGTGACAGTTAAAGGGATAGTTCACCCAAAAATGAAAATTCTTTCATCATTTACTCACCCGCAAGTTGTTCCAAATCTGTATGAATTTCTTTTTTCACAAAAGAAGATATTATGAAGAATATGGATAACCAAACAGTTGATGGGCCCCATTGACTTCCATAGTATGGAAAAAATTACTATGGTAGTCAATGGTGTCCATCAACTGTTTGGTTTCCGACCTTCTTTAAAATATCTTCTTTTGGGTTCAGCTGAAGATAGAAACTCATACAGGTGTGGAAAAACTTGAGGGTGAGTAGTAAATGATGACAGAATTTAAATTTTTGGGTGAACTATAAAAATGATATTTCATGTTCTTTTAAACTATATTCATCAAGATCCTGAAAGAAATTATCACTTTCTACAAGAATATTAAGCAGCACAACATTGATAAAAATAAATGTTTCTTGAGCATCAAATCAGCATATTAGATTATTAATTTGATATTGATCATATTGGTTTCTGAAGGATCATGTGAAACTGAAGACTGGAGGAATAGCTTTGCCATCACAGGAATAAACTACAAAAAAATAGACATTCAAAATATTAAAATATGTTTAAAAAGAAAACCGTATAATTAGAAATATAATAATATTATTTTTACTGTAATTTGGAAATGCAGCTTTGGTGAGCAGAAGACTTCTTTCAAAAACATAAAAAAAAGTACTGATCCCAAACTTTTGAACAGTATTTTAATAATCATAATAATACTTTGTATTGTATATATTCTGTCTAATATAGTATTTCATTGGGTTCAAATAAAGGATGTTCAGATATTTTTTTCCTTTTAAAAACAGAAAAACTGAAAGAATTTTTTTTTTTTTTTTTTGCAGTGTAAATCTTTAGGATGGGAATAAAGCTGAAAAATAAAATTTTGTTCTTTTTTGTCTTTTCAGCTTGAGCTGCCCGATGACTGTCTAGATGACTTTGAAGAGAAGATCAACAAGAGCAAGCTCAAGCTCGTGCTGACTAATGGAAAGATACAAGGGTAAAACAGTTATCTTCACCCATTTCCCTGACACACAAGTATTTTTAATATTATGCATTGACACCCTTATTTTTAATATCTCCTTTTCTTCCTGTCTTAGGAAAAAAGGTCGTGCTGGCAGTGCAAATGGAGCCGGGAGTTCACTTCAACAGTTCCAGCCCCACATGGCTACTTTGTCCGACTTTGATTCTGAAGATGAGCTTCAGATTGATGAAACCCCTCCACCTCGCCGTAGACCATCTCTACCAAGCAAGAAGAAATTAGCTGGTAAAAGATTTCTCCCATTTATTTTTTATGTTTAACTAATAAGGTTAATTTAATAACATCAACATCTTGGTACAAACTAATACTTGGCTCAATGGTTTCATTAAGGTCTACCAAGGAAACTACCTCGGGCCAAACCATGCAGCGACCCCCACAGAATCCGTGAGCCAGGAGAAGTGGACTTTGATATTGAGGTATGCAAGTCTCTTTTATGCAAGCTTTAGATTCATCTCTAGATGTCTGGTTCTCACTGGTTTTGTATCTTGTTGCTAAATAGGAGGATTACACCACAGATGAGGAGATGCTCACAGTGCAAGGTGTGAAAGGTGGAGCAGGTGGGATTTTAGACTTGCTCAAGGCAAGCAAACAGGTGGCGGGTCTCGATTCTGCACTGAGGTAATTCATACGCACACTTTATATACTGCATGTTGGCCATTATTAGTCTTTATGCCATAGTGAAAGCTGTAGATGTTTGTTTTTTATATTCACTTCTGCTGATTCTCTTTGTGTTATCAAGTGAGGAAGCACCAGCCTCCCCCAGCACCCGTGATGCTATCCAGGGCATGCTCTCAATGGCCAACCCTCCATCTTCCTCATCTTCTTCCTCCTCCTCCTCTCCTCTCTCTATCTCCGGAGGAGGTGAGATGATGGGGCTTTTGAAGGAGAAAGGCGGGAGAGCTGGGTGGATAAGTGGAGTAAAGAAGAACGAGAAGAAGTCCACCATTCAGAGGCCAGGGAAACGGCCCATCAAGCGTCCAGCACGGCACCTCAGTGATGAAGAAAGCTTGGATGAACAGGAGACCCTGGGTACCTGTTTTAAAGACTCTGATTATGGTGAGTTCACAGATTCTTGAATATTTACACCAGGTTTGTTAAAATGCGTAGCAGAGGAAATACTGCGAACCAGAGTGATTCAGTTTAAAAGATCATTTCTACTCTTCTATAGTGTATCCGTCACTAGAATCTGACGAGGAGGACCACTTAAGCAAATCCAAAATGAAAAGAAAGAGAAACTGGGATGATACACCCTGGAGTCCTAAAGGTAACAGCATGAAATGAAAATTTTGTAGCATTTTATTTCTAAACATTTCTGAACATCATTTCTTCACACGTCTTTAGCCCGTGTGACCCCTACACTGCCCAAGCAGGAGCGACCGGTAAGAGAGGGTGCCAGGGTGGCATCTGTTGAAACTGGGCTTGCAGCTGCTGCTGCCAAACTGGCACAACAGGTGAGCTTCTGTTCCACACTATGCCAGAACCTACAATTACGTTGGATGTGTACCTTTTACAAGTGTTCATTTTATTTTTCAAAATATCCTTTAAATTTAGTCAAGTCGTATTCATTCAAGTTTTTATTCATTTTAGTGTAAAATGACATCTAAATTTAACTTTAAGTTGACATGGACATGCAAAATTAAACCAAAAATAATTGTATGTATATTAATTAATAAATTAAAACACATTTAGCAAAAACAACAATGTTGAAAACCTGATTGATTTATTAGTTTAGTTTTTCGCTGTCTGTGTTTTAGGCCTTTGTGTTTTAGTACATTGAGGAAAGAGCGTGTTCACAACATGAGCTACACATTCTTATTAGCATGGTTTGATTATGATTGGATTATTTGAAACGATCAGATATATTGTTTTTACAAAAAAACATGGCAATTATACACTATTGGTTAAAGGTTTGGGGTCAGTAAGATGTTTATTTTTAAAAAAAAGTCTCTTATGCTCACTAAGGCTGCATTTATTATTTATTTATTTATTTAATCAAAAACAGTAAAATTAAAGAGATGGTATTGGCAGCTACGCAACTGACACTTTGATGCTTTGAAGAGATCGTAAAACTTATCCATAAGAATTGAGCGGTTTAGTCTAAATTTTATGAAGAGACTTAGTTGCTTCATATGATGAACAGATTAAATTTAGGCTTTTATTCATATGTAAACATTGCTTGACTCGCAGAAGCTCACATGTGCTGCGTAAAACACGAGAATGAACTTCATTGGTTCTTGTGGAAGATCAAACGTGCAAGAAAAATTGGACTAAATAAAACACTGTTCATATAGATTAGTTTTACGATTTCTTCATGAACTTTTTGAAGCATCAAAGTGTCCGTTGCGTAGCTGCCAATGGAAGGACAGAAAGCTCTCAGGTTTCATCAAAAAGATCTTAATTTGTGTTCCGAAGATGAATGAAAGGCTTGTGGGTTTTGAACCGCATGAGGTTAAGTAATTAATGACTGAATTTTTAGTTTTGGGTGAACTATCCCTTTAAGAGATGGTATTATTACAATTTAAAGGTACACTATGTAACTTTTGGCCCTCTAGCAGTTAAACAACAAAACTGCATGCATTTTTGTGTAAGAACATGGTTTTGGTTGTGCTTAGGCTCTGTGTGACTGTGCGGAATATGACCCTTCGCAATAGATAATGCTTTACATTGAACTCAAGAGCAACGTATGGCAATTTACCTGTTCAATAAATGCCTTACTCAACTGTTGGGTAATAAAAATGCCATCTGCACGTCTTCTTTACAACATTTAAAATCTCCAAAATGCCAAGCCAATCTCGATTAGTTTTACTATGAGCTCTGTTGCATTATTTTTTGTCAGCAGACTCTCCTCTGTTTTTTTTAAACGAATGATTTTTTGGAGGTTTGAGATTTAGCTGCTCCATGTCAACCTTTCTCGCTCATTGTGACCGCTAACCTATGCCGCTCCCACACCATACATTTGGCAAAATAGCCAGAGCAACTTTTCTGTATTTACAGAAATGACGAGACATGCACGGCCGAATGACCTCGCAAAATCCATTCCATCAGGTCTAAAATATAAACGCTTATAATAGGCTTACCATAGTGAATCAGAGTTAGACAAAAACACATTTTGGAAGAAGGATTGATGATGTATTGACTCATTATTTAAATTGTTTATTTTGAACAAAAAAAGTTACATAGTGTTCCTTTAAAATAGAGTTTTATATATATAAATATTTATACTTATTTATACTTAAATATACATTTGTCCTGTGTTAGCATTTTCAGCATCATTACTCCAGTCTTCAGTGTCACATGATCCTTTAGAAATAATTCTAATATGCTGATTTGGTGCCCAAGAATAATTTATCATCATTAATGTTGAAAACCGTTGTGCCACCTAATATTTTTTGGTGAAAGTCATGATATTTTTTTTTCCAGGATTCTTTGAATAGAAAGTGCACAGCATTTAAAAAGAAAGAACAGCAAAGGATTGAAATTGTAATCTATTGTTGCTTTAATATCAGGAACAGCAGAAAACCATAACCAAGAGAAGATACACCAAGAAGAAGGTCCCTCAAGAGAAAGTACATTCTGCAGCTGCCCAACTCCAGCGTCAGCCGGACTCTCCACCCGTGTCTCCTCCTCTGCCCTCTGAGCCTCCTGTGGACTGCATAGTTGAAGAGAGGAGAGTGGAGGTGTACTCTGCCAGCCTGCTGGACCACGAGTACACAGCAGGACCAGGTCCGTTCAGCCCTGGGGGTCCAAGAGGAAGTGGTGCCATGGCCCCTGGCGTGTTCCTGACTTCAAGACGCCACTCTCTTTCTCCCCAAAACAGCAGCAGCTACTCTCCCTCTGCCCCCTCACCTGGAGGTCTGGCAACTCCAACATCAGCAGGAGCGTGTCAAGGTATCTAGAATTACAGCACAGTACCTTTAACGGTGATGTGCCTGGAATTACACTGAAATGTTATCTCTGTTTCTTTCTCACAGGGAAACGTCCAAAGAAAGGACTTGCCACAGCTAAACAGAGACTGGGAAAGATTCTGAAAATACATCGAAACGGCAAGCTTCTCCTCTAGATTGATATGGAGAAGAGACTGCAGGGAACAATAGAGGTGGAGAAAACAAATGAGGATGAGAGGACCTGAATGATAATGGAGTTAAATTATGTGACTGTTTATGGTTTTATGGTTCTGCTTGACTGGTTTTATTTGCTTCATCTGGGCGAAAAGTGAAAATACAAGTGAAATCCATTTAGCATGTTTTTTTAGAATAGAAATTCTATTTGAAAAGCAAATAGAGCTAAACAGACGTATACATTAAACAATGGATACCAGTGAGTGATGTCTGTATTGCTAAATTGCTATTTTTTCCCAACATTTTCAGTGCTCCACCTCTAAAAATGCGTACATGTACACTCCACCTAAACCCTCTTTGTTTCATAGTTAATTTTTAGTTTTAACATTGTTTATTTCTAGAAAAAAGCTAAATTCTGAGGAGCACTTGATGTTAGATCAAATTGTCTAAGGCCATCAGAAAAAACAATTAGAACATTATTCAGAAGATGTTTGACTGGTGTATTTGGAAATTTGACTTCCCAAATTATTATTTTTTTTGGTCTGAATTGTCCCATGGAGGAGAGATCTTATTCTTCAGTCATCAGCTCACCCATTCTCATTGCTATTTGTCCCAGTCTAATCTCCTCCTAAAGCCATGCATATTGTTTGTTTACATGCTTCATTTAGTGTGTTCATATCAAATTGTTTTATACCATAGAAGGCAATTTGATACACCATCGTAATTTCTGTAGATTAAGTCCTGTAGTAACGTCTCTTTGCTTGTTAAATAATGTTTTTATCGTAGTTTACTAACTCATTTTTATCAACAAATGTATTTTAGATGTGTATATATTTTATATAAGTTTGTCTTGTTTTGTTTGTTTGTTTTCCACTCAGCATGGGCAGTATAATGTCCTGCCACCATTTGGCTATGGTTGTCTTGTTGGCCTTTCCATCTATAGTACAGCTCCGAGTTTAACTAGGGTTGAGTTCAGTGGTACACATTTTAGTAATTGTAAAGAACACGGAAAGTGATTTTAGAGCAGTTTGAGATCTGATGGCTGATTTTTGTAGGTTTAGTGTATATATTTGATGTTTTATTATTTTATTTTTTCTCGAAAGAAAGAAATTGCATTGGAATCTTTCTTGACACACCTTGTACAAAAATACTCACATGTTTGGGTAAGTAACAGCATAAGAGTTGTTTAGTCAGTTTTATTTGTATAGACTAATTATGCTGTTATTTTTCATTGATGCTTATGATATTAGCAATGTGATAAAGTTAATGTATTCTATTGCTATGTCAATGTTATTGTTTATTTTATTTTTTCCCCCACTTATCAATAATATTAATTGTGTTGTCAATATACTTTAGTTTTGCTTTTTTTATATATATATAAATACTATTTGTTTTTATTTGTTAAATATAACATTTTCTTGTAATTTTAATGTAATGGCAACAATACTTTTTACGTCTTCTCCCTTCACCATTATGTCCAAAATCAGCACCAAAAATATTGATAAATCAATGGGCCAGTGTAAATATTATTTTACTGTATTTTTTTTTTCCTGAAAATGTCACAGATCTTCACCCTGCCGAACTGTCACTATGCCATCCGAATGTGATTAGAAACTTGTTTTAAAGTGGTTTGTAGAAATTAGTATTGAACATGAAATAACAGAAGACAGTTGTTAGAATATTCTGTTTAAAATTTTTTAGAAATGGTTTTCAGATGATTCTGAAATTTAAAAGGATATTTCTGGAATATTTTGAGTTTTTTGTACATTTGTTTGATTTGACTACTACTTCACATCATCTCTAAATGTACACTCATATTTTACTAAACATTTGTGCCTTCAGTAATGTCCCAAACATAGCAACCTCTCTTACTGAAACTTCTACTGAGACACTATTCAGGATCTCTAGAAATTGACAGTGGAAAAACAGGAAAGATGTGAAGCAAGCTGCGCAACAAAGAAATTGTTCAAAAATCTCAAAATATAAGAGGACTGGCTTTTAAAGATGTTTTTTATTAAAACACATTTAATTAAGTTATTATCTTCTTTATCGTCTTGAGTTAATTGTGTGGATTTTAGGATTAAGTTATCCTTTAACCTTTTTCTTGTATGTTGAAGTTTATTTTGAACAATTAATGTTGATCATACAGTTCCTCTCAGGGTTTATTTTGTATCTAATATCATTTTGATAGAGCAACAGTAGTGTTAGGAGTAAACATTCAGGACCACTTAAAAACCAAGTCAAATTTCAACCCATTTAATATTTATAATTGGACGTTGTCTTTTGCTATTGTCACCACCTTTGGTTTTTGAAACGGCTTGAGCAGTTTTTTCCAAATGACCTCTATTAAAAGTATTTTTAAAAAACTGTTTGCATTTTTTTTTTCTTTATAAGCCTATTTTCATCTACAAGTCTCTAACGCGCTTAGTGGGTCAACTCAGCATTTGCCCGCTTCTTTGTCTTTTTCAATGGTCTATATTTCTATTGTGTGCCAGACGTTAAAAATAATGAACCCATAAACGGGAGTCACGTGATTTAAAGCCGCATCTCTGTTGCCATAGTGGTGTCAATGGCGGTCAGCTATTGGCTGATGGCACGTCTCCATCAGCCAGTCAAAATGCGCGCTTTTTACAAACTACTCCGGAAGTCAACACGCTTACTGAGCATTCTGAGCATTTTCCCTGTGCCAGTGAGGAGTGCCTTGATGTGGAAAGTCCTGTAGTTTGAAAACAACATAAAAGAAGCTGCAGTGTTTAGATATTGCTTAAGTTAATTTCCTGGTACGCATGTGAGTGTTAGTAAAATGATATGCTTACCGATTTATTCACATGAATACATAACAACTCGGTACGAAGAGCATAGTACTTTGATGTTTTCTGATGTTGTAGGCTACATTGCTATAGTGTTATTTATGATTGAGCGAACACCTCTTCGTTAAGGAACATTTTTTATTCTTATTATTAATCTCAAGATCCGTCTTGTTACAGGCACTGCATCCTGTCGAGATGGCGTCCTCTAACCCTCTGCGACCCCACAACAGAAGTCAGCAGGATCAACCAGGGTAAGTGAGCTGATCATTCACAGTAACGTTATATTTATATCAGCTTTCTCCCCCTCAAGAACCAGTGCATTTAAATGTCACTTCCTTAATTGATTATTTGACCGAACATTTCAGAATAACATAATTTTTTTAATGCTAGTTTTTGTAAAAAAAAAAAAATTTGTTTAACAGCTTTAAATGTATGTCTTTAATCCATTTAGCAATTAATTTTGTAATTATATGGGTGGCTCTTTCTACACTTGTCAAGAAATGTCCATGGCAAGTAGTGTTATTTTAGTATCTTTGAGATTCCATTCCATTAAAGTTTTTATTTATATTCTGAATTTTTATATTATGTTTTCACTTTAATCTTAGTTAAGGTTTTAGTAATTTTGTTGTTTTATGTCTATTCTTTAAATTTATTACATTTTATTTCAGTTTTAGTTATTTTAGTACATAAAGTTAATCTAAATGCGAAAAATAATAAATCATATTTGACCGATTTTGCGTTGTAATTATTTTCAGGACAATTAAGCCCTCAATTCTCATTACTATAATGGTTCTTGTACTGTCTTTATCATTTATTTTATTTTAATAATTTTTCATTTTTGGGAATTATATTTGTAAATTCAAACCAATAATAATTCAATTACTGAACGAAACATTAAATTATCAAAACTGAATAAACTTTTATTTTACTGTGATGCTGTTTTATTAATACCTGATCCATTATATTCAATGCAATTAGGACCTTGATGAATCAGGATTTGAAGACTAAGCTCAGTGCGTCCTCCTTTAAAAGAGGATCTGAGAATCTTGACCCCAATGCTTCTGCTGAAACTGGAAAAGGAGTCAATAAACTGAAAGCTGTCAGCAGGCTTCCAGTCCTCGCCAAATCTCTGCAACCAGCCCTAAGTGAGCTCTCCCAAAATCCCAGTCTCAACAGATGGGAACAGAGGCCTCTTATGGTAAGGACAAGCATTTCTGGTCATTACACAAATCTGAAATAAATTACAATGTCTACCAAGCAATTTTAAAGGAATAATTTACCTGAAAATTATTCCTTTCGGACATAAAAATCGGACATAATTATACATAATTATTTATGTATTTATTACTATTTTAAATTACAAAATATTATTAAATAAGTTTTTGCTTTTTATTAGTTTATATTTATATATTTATATATGGCTTTATTTTAGTTTAGTTTTAGTAATTTTAGTACTTCTAATTATTTATTTCAGTTGAAAGTTTTGTTTATATTTTTCATCTCATAGTATATTTGATCTTATTTCAGCTTTATTTTAATTACCGGAAACTTTTTTTTATCGTTTTAGTTTATCAATAACAACACTGCTACATGCATAATGATTACTTTTTTTTTGTCCCTAGGGTAAAGTGCAGAAAAAAAGGGCCTGCACCAAACCCATTCCTTTCAATCTGTCCCAGTCACGCTCACGCGGTCAGAGAAACACAGACATTCCTCAAGAAAAAGCGCCCCTGACGCATTCTGCCCGACTAACACCTGTGGCAAAAGTGAGGAACTTAAATCCAAGTGCCAAAACTGAAACTCAGAGCCATAAGGCTACTACACCAGGTGTCCTCAGGGCTCCAGCAAACAAGTCACAGCGATTGCAGCCTGGTAGTCATGTAGAATATGTTGCATTAAATAAAAACTCCACTGATGTTCACCCACCTTCACAAGAATCCAGATGCTGCAGTCACACTGATTTAAGTTCACGTTTAGGTAGCATCACTCTTGTACAATCTAAGCTTCCTGAAGACTTAGGTTGGAGTCATTTATGTAAAACTTCACTTGTTAAAGTAGATGTTAATTCTGATAATCAAGCACCAAAGGACAAGTACTGTTTCCAAACTGTCCCTTCAACTACACAAAGCCATGTAAGCACTAAAGGTGAGTGGCATACTATCAGATCTTTTCTCGTTGTCAATCAATTCAATGTTCAAATTGTCTTAAGTGTTCATGGTTCTTTGTTGAGTTTATTCATTAGTTGTTTATCATTGATGTATGTGCATGTGAGTACAGGATCATCATCAAATCTTCCATCAGCTGTACGCAATGTCCTTCCATGTGAGGGATCGAGTGCTGTTGGAGCACAATGCATGATGCTGCGTTTATCTACCTGCCCCCCTGGACTGGGAACCTCCAATCATGTGGTTAGAAATTGTAGAAAAGCCCCGCAATGAAACCAAATTGTTTGCTGACCCTTCATAATGATCATGCCAGTTGTATTTTCAGTCTAGTATGATGATGTAATGTTAATTTTTTGCTCCAGATAGCATTATGTTGATTTGTATATGTGTCTGGATAGTTGGTACTCATGGTTTTTTTTTTTGTTTGTTTTTTTTAAGCCTCAAAGAGTTGTGAAGAAGAGTCACCATGGTGTTGATGGCACCGCAGGTTAGTTCACCTTAAAGACTTTTGCCCCTGGTTTCACAGACAAGGCTTAAGCCTAGTCCCAGACTAAAATCCAAGGCCTAATTCTGACTTAATCTATTCTGAACCCTGTTTGTGAAACCAGGCCCTACTTTTCTCACTGTCCATAGAGGGTGAGCTTTTTATTTTCCTTTCATTTCAAGACAAAGCTGGGCCGTTTTCCCCTGACCCATCGGCACTACGTAGTATTCTACAGAGTGATGGAATGAGACTGGAGGAGCATGTTGGAGCAACACCCAGAGTATCAGTCTGTCCCACTGGCAGAGGAACTTCTATTTATTCAGTGAGTCCAGTCCAGTGTAATGTCATTCACACAGTGATTATGATATTTTACTTCTAAATGGTCCATTTAGGCAGAATATGTTGTGAAATAGACATGACCATGTCCACTTTAGGCTCAAAGAGTACCTGTCAAAAAGACTCAAAAAGAAGCTCCAGCGGAGGCCAAAAGCACTACAGGTATGTATTTTTGTTCATCATAGTGATCTTAGCAGGACTTTTTCGTCTTATACACTAGCATTCAAAATTTTGGCGTCAGCATTTTTACAAGGTTATTGAAGTCTCATGCTCATCAAGGCTGCAGTTATTTGATCGAATACAGTGATACGGTAAAACGGTAATGTTATGAAATGTTACAAATAAATTAATTGTAATGTCATTTATTCCTGTAATGGCAAAGCTGTATTTTCAGCATCATTACTCCAGTCTTCAGTGTCACATGAAAGATCCTTCAAAAATCATTCTAATGTGCTGCACATATTTCTTATCAATGTTAAATATGTTTGTGCTGCTCAAAATAGTTTTTTATAGATATTCATTCTTTTCTTTGATCGAAATATCAGCATTTATTTAGAAATCTTTTGTAACATTATAAATGTCTTTACTGTCACTTTTGATCAATTATTTCACTCCAGAATTAAAATTTCCTAATAATTTACTCACCCCCCATGTCATCCAAGATGTTCATCATGTCTTTCTTTCTTCAGTCAAAAAGAAATTAAGGTTTTTGAGGAAAACTTTCCAGGAGTGTTTCAATGCAGCTTTAAAGGGCTCTACACGATCCTGTCGAGGAAAAAGGGTCTTATCTAGCGAAACAAATGGTTATTTAAAAAAAAAAAAAAAATTATATACTTTAACCACAAATGCTTGTCTTGCACTAGCTTTGGATGCGCGTCCATGACTGCACGCATTACATAATCACATTGGAAAGGTCACGCGTTACATAGGCGGGAAAAACTCCAACTTCAAAATCGTCCGACATCGTTGTTTTCCTTTTTGTTGTAAATGGCGTTTGACTTAGTCTTTGCACATTCGCTTTGTAAACACTGTGTTGATTTTCTCTCTCTCTCTCTCTCTCTCTCTCTCTCTCTCTCTCTCTCTCTCTCTCTCTCTCTCTCTCTCTCTCTCTCTCTCTTATATATATATATATAAATCTTAACCCCAAATGTTTGTACTGTGTATTCTGTTATATAAATATTACAGAACTTTGATGTCATGTGATCCTTTAGGAAGTGCTGTGTCCTTCTCCCCTGACCCTGCAGCCCTGTGCAGTATTCTACTGAATGAAGGTGTGAGGGCTGTTGGAGCAACACCCAGGGTTTCAACCTGTCCCACTGGCAGAGGAACCTCCATTTATTCTGTGAGTCTGTTCAGAGTGATTCAACTTTCAGTTTTGTGCTAAAACTTAGCATTTTTACTAATGGAACTTTATTTATCTCAGGCCCAGAGAGTCCCAGTGAAGAAGAATAAACCAGAAGCCACAGCGACAGCAGCAGCATCTCAGTGTAAGTTTCACTAGCTATGTTTCCGTCCACCTTTTTTCATGCTCATTTTGGGGAATTGCATTAAAAAAGCTGGACGGAAATGCCAAGATGTGTTTAAACTACAATGGAAGCACATTTTCTGAATAAATCCCTTGATGTGCAGCAAAAAAAATCACATGACTTTGCCTCAACAGTGGATGTGATTAGATAACTGCACTTCAAATGTCATTCCACAGCACCTCAAATGTTGGTTTGATCATTCTGAAATGCCTGAGCCAAAGTCTGTCATCAAAATTATTTGGATTAATTCTCTCCCAAAAGGGTCTCACGTGATTACATCCGATCGCAAGATAACATGACTGCGTTTATTGTGTTTTGTCTGTGCGCTCTGAGACAGAAGTCATTTATGATGTAGGATAAAAGAGCCAGTGGCTTCCCCGATTGCAGCAACTTACATTTTTATTGCAGATATTTTGTGCCAATTTTCCAGGAAGTGACTATTTATTTTCTCTCAAACGCGTGGAATGGAGACTCTACTTGATTCGGAATTTTTTTATGTGATATTTCAATTTTGCGCATAAGTAAGATTCGCAACTTTGGATGGAAACAAAAGCCGCGTTTCCACCGCAATTACCAGGAACTATTTGTCCCAGGAACTTTTTTCATAGGAACTTTTTTTGCCCCAGAACGGTTGCTCACTGCGTTTACACCGTGGACTAAAGTACCGGGAAGATTAGTCTGGTGACATTGAACTGCGTGCGACTGCTCCTCCCAGTCTGCGCGTACTTGTTTTGAGTTTTAAGTATTGAGGAGATTCAAGCTGTGCTGTTTTTGTGTGCGATCTATTGGTTTACTAACGAGGTAATTAACAAAACGGCAGAAAGAGACGAACACTAATACCAAAGCGTATTCATTTCAGAAAGCTGTAATGCTAGATAGACAACGTTTGTTATCAGCTATAGCGGACATGACCGTGAGATGGATGGGACGAACGCGCGCCATCCGGCAGAGAGAACAAGGTAAAAGAACCAATCAGCATGTTCAGCGCACAAGTCCCACCCCGAAAGTTCCTGAACTCTGAAAAAGTACTACCTCGCCAGCAGGGACTTTCTGGGGGGGAAATTTTTACCCGGAACTTCATTTAGACCCTGGTTCCTGCGGTGTAAACACACGGAGTACCACCCCAAAGTTCCTAGTTCCTGGGGAAAGTTCCTGCGGTGGAAACGCGGCTATAGCTAATCTCCAGTGTTCCTTCTCCTTCAACATCATGCTTTCATCCCTATGTCACTGTTTCTCTGTTGTGATGCAGGTGCAAATAGAACACCAGTGATGAAATGGACACCGCAGCGGGTTGCAAACACCAAACCACAGTCAATGGTGAGTGTTCTCTTGTCTTGGTTTGTATTTTTTGTTTTTAAACTATTTGTATCCCAGGCTTATGTTTACTGTTTCTATTTACAGAGGAAGCTCTGTACCGGCCAAAAGATGTCCAGTTTAAGGGGCTCTCCGGGTTTGCGTGGAGCCCACGACCCCAGCACTGGACTCTTGATGTGCCATGAGGTAAAACAAGCCCATGATGCAAAACCTTTGTCGTTTACTTGATCTTCATGATAGAATGGCAGGTTAACACTGATTGTTGCTTGTGTTGTAGGGGGAGGATGTTGTTCAGAGGTTATTTGAGGACCAAGAGCAGACCGACGATGACCGGATTGACCAAGATGAGGTTACTTCGCAACAATTGCTGAAAAGTCACCAAACTGTATGATTGCTTTAACTGTAAAACGTTAATTAATGCATCACTGGTCAGTCTTTTTGATGGTTTAAAAGTAATCTCACATTGTCTTTTCCTCATTCAGGCTGAAGCTCAGTCAAGAATGAAAGAAAATTCTGATTCAAACCATTGCCACACTGAGAACAGAGGCAAGAAAACAGCCCAGCCGTTCATACAAGCAGCACACAGAGGGTCAGTCATTGTTTTCTCATCAAGCCAAAGACTTGGACCAGACCGGTCTCAGGATACTCTGAAGACCACTGGAGCAGACGTCCCTTTGCAGCTCTGTGTAGACCGGCCAACATCCCAAAATGCACTACCACTGCTATCAGACCAAAGAAATGGATCACAGATCAATCCTAGCTTAGACCTGGCTAAACAAAGCCAATCAAAAGGTAACCATGCCATCTAAAGTGAAACTAAAATCAACCTTTTTGTCTCTTTTATTCCACAAAGTGGTGTAAATGACTAGCCTGGGAAAACCCAGACAACTTCCGGCAAATTTAGATTTGCTCTGAAAGTTAGTCTGGCAAAGAGCTCATTCAAGCCCATTTCCAATCCGTCGAAATCGAGGCACCAATCAGAAACGTTGGGGCGGGCTTTACACTATGACGACAGCGCTGGGATTTTGAAGCAGATTTTGTAGCCTACATTACAAAGATGGATGCCGCCGTCGAACATCACTCGTTTGAATCAGCTATCGCGTCTGTTTTAAGCGATTTGAACGTTTCCTTTTTGTTAAAAACCGAGCAAAGAACAACACTCAGAGATGTTTCTCCGCCGCTCTGCATACGTCATCTCCTTCATCGCTCTGATTGGGTTTAGGTCTGTTGGTGACGCCCCTCTGGAAATGATTTGTCTGTGACCCTTTGCCAGACCACAACTCAGTTACAACTGAGAATGGTCTGGTTTTAACCAGGCTAGTAAATGACCATATCGGTCCAATGTTGTAATTAATGATGCTTAAGCAGACATCCTGAAGACATACCCTGCGTTTGTAGTAGTGTGTACTGCATTAAATGTGTCCTGATATGTTGGTAATGTGTATCCATCTGTCTGTAGCTCCTACCGTCACACACTCTACCGCTGTGTCTGCTCTGCGGCGGCGTCATACGCCTCTGGAGGAGATGATTCTGGATGAGGAATGTGCTACGTACACCTCTCGCCTGCTGTCCTGCCCGCTGCAGCCCCGCTGTGGCAACCCGGTGGCCACCACACTTCTGTTTAAAGACTGTACTGTGAGTGATTGGTCTGTTCTGAATTGTGCACAACAAACTAAGCTGGTTGTCAAGTTGAATAGCTGTTGATGCATCTTGTTATTTCTGTCCTCTCTTCAGAGTTTTTTACCCATTGGCCTGTCCTCACCAGTACATTTGAATCCAGTCCCTTCTGGTTCCTCAATCAGAGCATAAAGGCAGATGTCCCACAGCATATTTCTTGAGTAGGTCTGTGTAAAGTTATGTAATACTGTCTGAAACAGTATTTCTAGTTGCACTTTTGAAATGGCATGTTGTCATACAGTTAGATGTAACTGGATACAGATTCCACAAGCAGCAAAGTCTTGGACAGATACAATGTTTGATGGGATTTACTGTTGACAGCATGACTGAACTCTTTGTATACTGAACACTTTCATAATTTTTACACTGAACTTGTCACTGACTAGAAACACTATGTGCTTTCAGCTTGTCTCTTGTGTAAAGTGTATAATAAATCTATATATAAACACAAAGGCTTACATTACGTTTTTTCGATTTGTTCAATCATTCGTTTTTTTCCTGAATTGATTATATGATTTTATATATATCTATATATACTGTATGTGTGTATAATATGAGTGCTTTTTTTTGTTTGTAATATTGTAATAAAACGTTGAAGTATATGACTCCAATTAGGATATTATTTTGTGAAAGATCTAAATTATGTAATTTCTTTTACATTAAATTATTTAAAGTCTTGGTTTTTATTCAAAAAGTAATAAACTATTATAAATAAATACTCAAATAAAACCACATTAAGACTATGTAACATTGAGACATGGTAAACTTGATAATAAAAAAAACTTTTATTTATTGAGCATGTAACCTTTGCTTTGTAATTCAAGTTGATACTTGATATTTAGCTGAATCAGGGGGTGTGTGAGTGTGGTGTTTGTGAAATGAAATCCAGGGGGTGGGCACAACTTACTGGAACACTGTCCTATAAAACCCTTCCTTCTGGAGCCCATTGCTTTGAGAGACGGTGGTAGCACGTCTTTCATTTGCCTCCTTTTCCAATTCCCTTTGCCACCAATTTCTGGAATTCCTGAACCATGTCAAACATAAACACAGCTGGGGTGAACCAGACAAACATGGGGGTCGGACGGTCCATTGCTGTACTGACGTCAGGGGGTGATGCCCAGGGTAAGTAATGATCTGCCTCTTAGATTTTTTGATAGTTCATATGGTGGTTTCCAAGAGGGTGGTAAAAAACATTCCTGTGTGGATAATTAGATCACAATACTTTGTGCAATTTTTGGACTATGCTTGTAGTGCAAAAGAGGTTTTCCCCCCCTCTGATCAGATATGATAAAGTTATAACAATTTTTATAGACATTTTCTATACATATATAATCTATGGCGAGGAATTGAATATAACAAGAATTGGTCTGAATTTAATAGATATGCCACAAAAAATAATTTACAATTAAAAGAGTTAAGTACATGTTCTGAAGCAGAACAAAAGCACAAAATGTACTAACAAAAATAAATCTTCCGTAGTCTTTTGATTTGCTCAAGTCTGGTCCATTAATGTCTTGTAGCCTTTAGCTTTAGCCTGTAGCTCTTGTACCCTGTCTACCTATTTCCATAATTGAAGGCTAAATTTATCTCCAGTGACCTTCTTCTGAAATGACATGAGGTTATGGAGAGTAGCAGGCTTTTCCACAGCTGCTCACTGTTGAAACTAGAGACACTGAGTGAGGTTTTTATTTTTTTACACAACACAATCTAAAACACCTTGAGCTTTACTTTTGGGTTCACACAATTAAGTTATCTCGGACACTCGCATAATTCCTCAACCTGTGGAATGAAATGTCGTGAGGTATCTCTCTTTACTTTTCCTGTAGCCATGTGTAGCTTCTTGTATCTCTACAGTTAAAGATATGATTATGATATGAGAACAAAATAGAGGTTTTGTCTATTGCAGGGATGAATGCAGCCGTGAGGGCCACTGTCAGGGTTGGTCTTTACACTGGAGCCAAAGTCTTCTTTGTCCATGAGGTATATTGAACTTTATAAGAATAAAAACAAACGTATAGATGCAAATCATATCAGTTAACAATGTTGTTACATTTCATGTCTGTTCACTGTTTGTAGGGCTATCAGGGATTGGTTGACGGAGGGGATCACATCCGTCCCGCTACATGGGAGAGTGTGTCCATGATGCTACAGCTGGTGAGCCTGTACTTTCAGATGACATTAAATTTATTATTCCTATACTAGGATTTTAAGTTCAATTTTAAAACAAGACAACACTACTCATTTGCTAAATGAAAAAGTTATGCTGAAAGAATATATACTCATTAAAGATGACACTGGTGTTGGTCATTGATGGTGATAACATAACATCCAAATTGAGTTTTTCTTTCATTTGCACTATTCTTTATGTAGTGTCCTGATTGTCTGAATTCTTTCTGTGTGTCTGAAGGGTGGCACAGTCATTGGCAGTGCCCGCTGTATGGATTTCCAGACTAGGGATGGGCGTTTGAAGGCTGCCTGCAATCTCGTCAAGCTGGGCATCACTAACCTCTGTGTAATTGGTGGCGATGGCAGTTTGACCGGTGCCAACATATTTCGTACTGAGTGGAATGACTTGCTGAAAGATCTAATCAGCAAAGGTAAAGAGCCATCTGTGCTGAAGGTACTATTGAAACAATTTATTGAAACACATTAAATCGTGTAAACATAGCCTGCTGTGTACATTTGTTTTATTGCTTGAAGGCTGGAATCCCTAATTCTGATTAAACTGAATTGTCCCTCTGCACACAGGTAAGATCACCAAGGAAGAGGCCAAGGCTTCATCTCATCTGAATATTGTGGGTATGGTCGGCTCTATCGACAATGACTTCTGCGGAACGGACATGACCATCGGCACAGACTCTGCCCTACATCGCATCATTGAGGTGGTGGACAGTATCACCACAACAGCACAAAGGTCACAAATATGTGTAATTGATCAAATATCAGCAATCACTGTTTTTTTGTTCAGACATTTGTTGCTAAATTTTGATTTTGAACTCTGCTCTCACCCACAGCCACCAACGTGCTTTCATCCTGGAGGTCATGGGAAGACACTGTGGGTAAGAGTGTGCTTGTGTATGTGTGTTTGCTTATACACTGAAGTCAGCTTATGTGCGCAGCAGAACTGGAGTCAAGAACAGACCCTCTAAGATCCAAACCCAGAGCAAAACCAGACCCCCTTACACCCAGATCAAATGGTTTAGATGCTGGAATCTCACATTTAATTGTGTGTGTGTGTGTGTTTCAGTTACCTGGCTCTAGTTGCTGCTCTTGCATGTGGTGCTGACTGGGTGTTTATTCCTGAGATGCCCCCAGATGACGGGTGGGAGGAGCACTTGTGCAGACGACTGACTGAGGTACAAAGCAATAGACAACACACACACACACACAAAAATGATATAATTGTTAGTCACTAGTTCAACATCCTTGACATATTTAACCATTTGGTATTGGTTAGACTACTTTTGGTATTGCTTTTCCATTACCAGTACCAGCTCGACTCGGCTCGCTTTTCGCTCCGTTTTCCATTGCAGAAAGTACCGCCACAAATAGTACCCGGTCGTCATAGCGACGCATTTCGTTCCCCCATCAAGCTCTCGCCGGATCCTCTCTTCGGCAACCAAACAAAGGAATGTCTGCACCTCCTCGTTTGACCACGGCGTATTCTTCCGAGTTGCCATAATAATAGTAGTAAGTTTATTAACTATCTCTGGCCAAACTATTTAGAAATGGCGGGGTTATTCTGGATACTCCATCTGGCGCGTGCAATGATGACGCAGATTCTCTGTGACCAATCAGCAGTCGGCATTGTTTTCACGTCACATTTTAGTATCGGCTTAGCTCGCCTCAGCTCGCTTAGAACCTCGCCGGAGGTGGTACGAAAAAAAGTACCCGAAAGCAGGTACAGGTACAACTTTTACACAGTGGAAAACCAAACAAAGGCGAGTCGAGTCGAGTCGAGCCGAGCCGAGCCGAGGCGAGCTGGTACTGTGTAGTGGAAAAGCGCCATTAATGTTTTTGAAAAAAGTCTGATAAGCTCACCAACGCTGCATTTATTTGATCATAAAAACTGTAATATTGTGAAATATTATTACAATTTAAAAGAACTCTTTTCTATTTTAAAACATTTTAAATGTCATTTATCCCTGTGATGTCAAAGCTGAATTTTCAGCATCATTACTCCAGTCTTCAGTGTCACATGATCCTTCAGAAATCATTCTGATATGCTGATTTGGTGCTCAAGAAAAAATTGTTATTATTGTCAATGTTAAAAACAGTTGCTGCTTAATATTTTGTGGAAACTGTAATATTTTTTTCAGGATTATTTGATGACTAGAAAGTTTATATTTGAAATAGTTTTTTAAAATTATTATTATTATTTAAATGTCTTTACTGCCACGTTTGATAAATTTAATGCTTCCTTACTGAATAAAATTATTCATTTGTTTAAAAGAAATTGTACTGACCCTGAACCTTTGAACGGTATAGTGTAAATCTACTGGAAAAGCAGAACTGAAAAAGTTTTAATTTAACTGTATTATTTGTATCTATTGGAAATTGTTTTTTTTATGTTTTAAGCCTAAATCTAACTAAATGTTGTAAGGTTTGTGGTTAAATCAAGATAAAAAAAACAAGTTTTTTTTCCTGTAGGGCATTAAAAATAGTTTAATTTTCTTACAATATCTATTATTATCTTGTTACATAAAACACAGTACTGATAATAATCAAAGACTTTATATACAGACTTAAGAGGACTGTGCATTGATTCATAATTGTATCTCTCCTCAAACAGACCAGAAATGCAGGTTCTCGTCTAAATGTGATCATTGTGGCTGAGGGAGCGATCAATAAAAAAGGGGAGCCAATCACCTGTGACCAGCTGAAAGATGTAACTTAACTCCTTAACTTACTATACTACAAATGCTCTTGAAAGAGATGCTCTAGCATAGTGATGTAACTGCTGTCTATAAGTGCACTTTGATTATGTTTTTCTGTTCTCATTCAGCTGGTGACAAAGAGGCTGGGCTTTGATACTCGTGCCACTATCCTTGGACATGTGCAGAGAGGTGGCACCCCCTCAGCTTTTGACAGGGTGCTAGTGAGTCCCTCCCTCTTCACTCCTTCACATTTTCTCAATTTTCCCTTTGTATATTCCACCCTTTTTTATTTCATATGAGTTTAATGCGCATGTTTGTTGTATATCAGGGCAGTAGGATGGGTGTGGAGGCTGTAATGGCTCTGCTAGAAGCCACTCCAGAAACTCCTGCCTGTGTGGTCAGTCTCTCTGGAAACCAGGCTGTCAGACTCCCCCTGATGGAGTGTGTGCAAGTGGTGTGTAAACGCATACATTTTTTAAAATACATATAATAATTTCATGACTTTCTACTTGAAATTAGGTCAAATTTCTAAAAAAAATTAATTAGTCAATTTTTTCTAGTGATGTTTACGAACTGTTTAATTCGTGCAAATGAATTAAAATTTAAAATGAATTAAAAAAAAAATGAATGCATTAAAACTAAATCCATAAAATGATCCCATGATGGAAACCCCTAAAAAGGTTCTATATCTGAAGCACCTGACAGAACCCTTTTAAGGTTCTATATAAAACCTTTTCTTCTAAGAGTGTATAGATTTTTTATTTTTTATTTTTTTTAAATATAGACCAAGGATGTCACTGTTGCAATGAAAGAGGGTCGATTTGACGATGCTGTAAAACTCAGGGGAAGGTATGTTCAGAAATGTCTCTTTTGCTCTCTGTTTTATTATTATTAATAATAGTAGTAGTAGTAGCATTGTAAACTTGTATTGTATTAGTATTCAGTGATTGGTTTGCAGGAGTTTTGAGAATAACTGGAACACATATAAACTCTTAGCTCATGTGCGCCCCCCGGAGACAAAGGTGAGGAGATTCATTCATTTATTCTCATTTCTTATCTTTTTATTCTCATTTTCAATCATGTGTTTCTTCTTTCTGTTCGCCAGGGTAGCATTAATGTGGCTATTTTAAACGTGGGTGCTCCCTGCGCTGGCATGAATGCAGCAGTACGTGCAGCCGTCAGGATCGGACTCATCCAGGGTCACAACATGCTGGCGGTTCATGATGGCTTTGAGGGTCTGGCTCAGGAAAAGGTAAGCAACATCAACCAATCGAGCAGTGTTTCAAAGTTTGGGATTGGTAAAAAAATTTTTTTTTTAAATGTCTTCTGACCAAGGCTGCTTAATTGATCAAATATACCGTGCAAACTATATATGATAGTATAACAATATATAAGATAATATAACAATATTACAATAAAACAACTGTTTTCTATTTTAATTTATTTAAAAACTGTAATTTATTCCTGTGATGTCAAAGCTAAATATTCAGCAGCATTACTCCAGTGTCTCATGATTCTTCAGAAATCATTCTAATATGCTGATTTGGTGCTCAATAAACATTTTTTATTATTATCAATGTTGAAAGTTGTGCCACATAATATTTTATGTGAAAACTGTGATACATTTTTTTAGGATACTTTTAGGAATAGAAAGTACAGTATGTGGAATAGAATAGTCTGTGTCTTGCCATTTTGAACAATTAAATGTGTCCTTGTTGAATAATTGTAGTGATTTCGTTTACTGTCCGGTAACTATGTTGTGGCACTTAATCCTGGAATCCATTGTAAGGGTTTTAAAAAGCCATTGTAGTGTTGTCATATTCTGTCTAACATAATGTTTAGATTGAGCCCATCACTTGGAACACCGTTGGAGACTGGACAGGGAAAGGTGGATCTGATTTGGGAACCAAAAGGTACTGATCACTTTAGATTATTTTTCACTTGACATCATTTACAGTTCTGCAATACTTGAAAGTATTTCAATATTTTTCTGTTAATCCAGAGTGTTACCTGGAAAGTACATGGAGGAAATCAGTTTGAATATTGCCAAGTACAATATTCACGCTCTGATCATCATTGGAGGTTTCGAGGCAAGTGACAAAATATGTCCATGTCCTATTCTGTCCACATTTTGTTCAGGCCACATTATAGGGTTAGGGTTAATGAAAATTCAGTTATTTATGTCAGTCCTAAGACTTTCGTTCAGCTTCGGACCACAAATGAAGATATATAAATTCCTCAGATATTGTTAAAAACTATCTTCATTTGTGTTCCGAAGATGAACGTCATAATGACAGAATTTTTGGGTGAACTATCCCTTTAAAACTGCAGTCTTCACATTCCCGTTTTCAGGCATTTTCGGGTGGACTAGAGATGGTTCAAGGCAGAGAGAAGTATGAAGAGCTGTGTATTCCCATGGTGATCATTCCTGCTACTGTATCTAACAATGTGCCTGGCTCAGACTTCAGCATCGGAGCCGACACCGCCCTTAACACCATTACCACGGTTAGAGATACAGCACACACACTGTCTACATTTTAGGGATGCACAGTATATATACCATACTGATTATCAGACAATATCTTAAATTCATTTGTTCATTTAAAAAATATATATTTAGTTATGTATTTATTTATTTCAATGTTTTGCTTTTACTTAAATGTAATCTTTAGCAAATCTCAAAATGAATATCTATTTTACATAAAGTACATTATAAGGCTGTGATGCCTGAATGGACTTGCATTTAAAATAACAGATTTTATGGCAAGACACTACAGGCAAAACCATTGGGTCTTTTTTGTGTGCACTGATCAATTTTGAGAATTTGGGCTATTTTGCTTCCATAACTTGTCTTCTTTCAGACTAGTGGAAAGAAAACACTCAAAATACACAATTAAGTGTTTATTTTACTAGACTATCTATTTGCGCCTTTATTTTCAATGACAAAACATTAAAGGTCGTTTTCTCAAAATGAGTTTTTTTCTCATGCACTTCAGTAGCACTTACATACAACAAACTTTACAGTTTGATTTCTATCTATAATCTGAAGGTTTTTACAGAGGGATTTGTTAATATATCATTCACCTGATATATTTGTAACATTGTATTCCTAGTGATGAAAATAGATATCCAAAATATCCTCTGTAAAAGCACTTAAATCTAATATGTCAACAAAATTAAACACATTTTTAACCTGGGTTTATCCAATGTTCAGATTTCAGTTCTGGACATTTATGCAAAATTATGCCTAATTTGCATATTTAACCAACATTTTAAGAAAACTTGTAAAACAATTGTCCTAATTTACTGTGATCAATCTACTAGGAAAACTATGGTGATATCTATTAGTTAAATATTTACCCTATTCACCTGAGGTGTCTTGCCTGAAGCGTTTTATCTTTAATTTATTTCAACAAAACGATCATTTATCGGCTATTGAACTTAACATGAAAAATAATTATCGGCTTATTAGTTTCAGCCAGAAGTGTAATACTGGTGCATCCCCAGTGTATGGTTATTCTGTAGTGTCCTCACATGGGGCCTCTGTAGACCTGTGACAGGATCAAGCAGTCGGCAGCAGGAACCAAGCGCCGTGTGTTCATCATCGAGACTATGGGAGGATACTGCGGCTACCTGGCCACCATGTCTGGTCTCTCTGCAGGTGCTGATGCTGCTTATATATATGAAGAGAAATTTGGCATTCGTGACTTGGAGGTAAACAAGCAACTCGGAACAAATAGCAAAGAAAATGGACTTAATCAAATCACTCAAACCGGAACTGTTCAGTTTGAATTTCTCCAAATAATTCATGTTTACAGAGAAATGTGGAACATCTTGTTGAGAAGATGAAGACCACTGTTAAGAGAGGCCTAATTCTCAGGTTTGTCATTCAGTATTCGTAATATGAAGACTGTTTTAGACCGTTTTAGTTTGTTTTTACCTTTGAGGTGAGATTTCTTAATGGAATAACTAAAAACAGCATCTCTAGCATGCATCGGTTACTTCAGCAAATAATAGTAGAACATGAATTGTCAAATTAAACCTTAAAATGAAACCTTCTACATGTCTTGTAGAAATGAAAACTGCAATTCCAATTACACCACTGATTTCATCTTCAACCTGTATTCAGAGGAGGGAAAGGGTGTTTTTGACTGCCGTAAGAATGTCCTCGGCCATATGCAGCAGGTTAGATGTGATAAGCCCTGTTTATTTTAATACGTATTAAGAATGCACATTTATTAGCAGTTGTTTTTAAGTATTTTGTCTCACATTCAATCTTTTTATAGGGTGGCACCCCAACACCTTTTGACAGAAACTTTGCTACCAAGATGGGTGCTAAGGCTGTTCTCTGGCTGACTGAGAAATTAAAGGATTGTTACAGACATGGTGAGAAAAAATGCAGTCTGATATTTCCTTATATTTGCTGTTGTCCGTGGCAAAGCTATAAATCAGTCTGCTGGAAACCACTGCTACATTCATGTTGCTTGTATCACATCGCTCTCTTGTTTCATAAAAATGCACCATTAATATTGTTGTAAAATTGTTGCAATTGTTGTTATTTTTGTTGATTTGGCCAATCTTTTTGTACAGTTGAATGGACTAATTTTTCTTAGCGGAAGATTTAATATAATATACACTATGACTCATAAGTAAAAAATAAAAATAAAAACTTTTATCAAGCAAGGATGCATTAAATTGTGACAGTAAAAAACATTTATAATGTTCAAATAAATGCTGTTCTTTGGAATTTTCTACTTATCAAAAAAAATATATACATACTTCATGGTTTCCTCAACTTTTCAGCAGCAGGACTGTTTTCAACTAATAATAAAAAGAAATGTTACTTGAGCAGCAAATCAGCATATTAGAATGATTCCTGAAGGATCATGTGGCAATGAAGACTGGAGTAATGATGCTGAATTCAGCTTTGCCATCACAGGAATAAATTACATTCTAACATCTATTATTAAAAAACAAACAAAACAATAATAATATTTCAAAATAGTACTGTTTTTGCTGTATTTTTGGTCAAATAAATGCAGCATTAGTGAGCATAGAATACTTCTTTCAAAAACATTTTAAAATCTTACTGATCGATTCTAAAATTATTTCTTCTCAAATCAATATTTCATGTCCACGTATGTATTTATTTGGTCAGAAGCCATGTTATAATGTTCAGTCAGTCAGTTGCAAAGTAATATTCATTTTTATTCAATTATTATTTATTATTTTGTGACAATGACCGGCTGGCTGTACATTATCCCTTTAAATAAAACATATTTCTGATTTGACTGTCTGTACAGGGCGAATCTTTGCTAACACCCCAGACTCTGCGTGCGTGTTGGGCATGAGGAAGAGAGGACATGTGTTACAGCCTCTGGCTGAATTGAAAGAACAGACAGATTTCGAGTAAGAATCTTCCTTTATCACATGCATTTAAATGCATATCATTCAGAAGTTTGTGACCCCACTAATTAATTTCTTATCTCTTTCGCTCAGACACCGTATTCCAAAGAGCCAGTGGTGGTTGAAGCTGAGGCCTATTATGAAGATCTTGGCCAAGTACGAGATTAGTCTGGACACCTCTGAACATGCTAGTATGGAGCACGTTATAAGCAAGAAGCCTCCAGTGCACATGACCCTCACAAAGTAATCATAAGCAAAAATGAGGACAGACAGATGTGACTGACTACACAGAGCATTTTAACAATCGTGTGAAATGACGGGTGATCATGAATGTATCTACTTCTAGAATTATTTGTTAACCTGTCTGTGTATTATTCTTTCATTTTGTTTGTATAGTATTTATGCTAATACTGTGTTGCAATATGCAAAATAAAATACTCTTATTATCAAATACCCTTGGTTTTCTTTTATATATATTTCTATATTTTAATTTAGGAAGGGATTTAAATGTCAATATACCAACAGCATGTAGTAACATGCATGTTTCTAGTCTAGTAAACCTTCAATGATTATACAAACAAACATGCAAACCAAAATTGTATTTTGTGTTATTTATAAATATGTATATAAGTATGAACAACTAAACCCATAACGTACTATTTCATCTGATACCAAAACTGTCTAAAGAATTATATAGTGTAAATTTAAAATTTGGAGACTCCTATTTAACAAAGAAAATTTGGTGAAATGCTCCTTTACACTATTAAACTTTAGGCCTACATTTTTCTTCTGATTGAAGAGCCTTTGATTGATTTGCTTGTTAAAGCACCTCTTTATTTTGATGGGAAGCAGCAAGAATGTCTATCAATATATCTGAATAAAATAATACTATTCCAATGGCATTTAAATTATCACAGTCACCCTCATCAGTTACTTTTATTGCGTAGAAATAAATGTCATAAAATTGAACTGAGGCTGTCAGTGATTCTGCCTAACATATTTTGTGTTCCAAGAAAGTGATGAGTTTGAAATAACATGAAACTGAGTAAATGATGACAGAATGTTCATATTGACTATCAAATAAAATAATAATAATAATAATGGACTAAGTAGGCTATAAAAGAAGTAAACAAGAAAACGTGGGACTGTTGTGAAATTAAACTTTTATTAAGAAAAATACTTTTATTTTGGCAGAGAACCTGCAGTCAGCCATTGCTCCAACCGGAAGCTGAGCAGATCAGCTTCAGAGGATATCAAGAGGTCGCAGAGGAGTGTGGGACGGTGGCGGACTGTGTTAATGTCTGCCTACTCATTAATAAGGTGCGTGTCCCCTGTGTCCGCTTCGGTCGCCCATTTAGGAATGTGCCCTATGGCACTGGAGTTTGTGTAAATCGCGAGGAAGGCGCGTTTGGAGCGAATTCGCTATTTTCGGCGCTTGCGCTGTCATTTTCACCCGTCAGTTGCCAAACGTCGGAGCCTGAGCCGTATTTGTCGCTGCATTGATAGCTAGTCAGCTAGTTAGCAGGAGAACTAGCTCATTCGGTGGCTAGCCAGCCAGCTCGCACTCTGAGCTTTCTTTACCGAGCACTCAATAAATTCAGCTTATTTAACCGGACCGTCATCTGTGCGTATCCTGGTGTATTAGCCAACTACTCGATCAGCAAAAAGGGTGAGCCGAGGGGGGCAGGGAGAGAACGACGGAGGCGCGGTGAGCCAGGAGCGGCCGATGAGTTCAGACCAGGGCGGAGAGCCGCAGCTGCAGGAGGAGGCTGAGCCGGGACCCAAAACCCGAGGGGAGGACGAGATCACACCCGGGACCGGGGGAGACTCAGGCGTCATGGTGAGTCGGGGCCTCTTCACCCCTCCCCAACAGGACGATCGGTCTCTGGCCGTTGCCCTTCTTATAAATAGGGTCATAGGAAGTATGATCGCTCGCTATATAAGGCCATCGGTCGGTTCACACAGCTTGCAAGCTTGACATCACCTAAATTGCAAGCTGGCCATGTTGTTGAAGACTCTTCTTGTTGTCATTTGAAAGGATGATTCATTAATCTCTGTGTTGGCCCGCTTACAAGAGACATTTCTAATCTGCGGCTGAACTTTGCATCATGTTTGTGGTTTTAAGATTGCTCTGTCGCACACAAAGACGACAGTTCGCCCAAAAAAACGTAATTTCCTCACCATCATGTTGGTCAAAACCCGCATGAACATAAAATGAGATGTTAGGCAGAATAACAGCAGCATTCCCTATTCGCTTCCATTGGGGAAAAAAAAGGTGCAATGCAAGTAAATAGAGACTGAGGCTGTCAGTCCCTCACATCCTAACCAATATAAGGATTTGTTTTCTAAGATGGACCCAGAAAACACTATTTTTTAGCACAAACGCATTTTATCTTTTCATGAATCTTTTATAGAGTTGTTTATTCAAAAATGTCTACCGAGTTGATTTTTTTTACAACCTTTTATGACATTGTGCTGTTTGTTGAATGTATCTGTCATGAAATAGCCAGCTGATATGACGGTAAACTTAATTCCCTTGGTAAAGGTTGGTGGTTTGTATTAAAGGAAGCTTGACACGACAGAATTTAAATTTTTGGGTGAATTGGCCCTTTAAGACGTTCGAGCATGACATGCGTAACCGGGTAAATTAGCCCACATGCTAGCGAATATTCACATATTAGAAGTTTGTTAGTTATAACTTAATTCACTTTGGCTTAAGGACACTGGTTTTAGTCAAATTCTCCAGTAATACCCGCTGTAATTCGGCAACATGCATTCAGCGGCCTGCTTTCATAAGCTTATCCACGCAGTCATATGACACACGTGAGCTCACACGGAGTTAAAACCGACTAGAACAGACGAACTTCAAATAATGTTTATAACATTGGCTTGGGAAGTTGATATGGTTTTCTGAGTAATAAGTTGCAAATATTTGTTTCAGCTTGAATAGTTGTGAGCCGACGTCCTTCTCTTAAATATACCAAACATGTCCTGCACTTCAGGTTGGGAGGACCCGTAGCAACTGAGTTTTTCAGAGAGTGACAGTAATGTCTGCTTTTGGCCAAAATGATGTCTTCTGGCTGACATCCTCCAGAAACACTTAATCCTTGAATCCTAGAGGATCTTTTAGTGTTGTTTGTGTTACAGGCGCACAAAAGCGTAACAGCTGTTTTTGATAGTTTTAGTTTATGTGGAGGATGAGGTTTAGGAAGCAGGTGGCTGTTCCCAATGGCGCCCCCGTGGCCATGTGAAATGAGCAGGTATGAATTATTTTGGATGCACAATTTGTAGCCAAAATATTAAACGTGTAATAGATGTACACATGGGAACCTTTTACATTTCACCTGCTTCAGTACCTTCCTTTTAAGTGAGAAGACTTCAGATTCACTTAAATGAATGATATTTTAGTTTGAAGGGGAGTCTGTTAAAAAATAATTATTTTTTGTGCCTTTTTAAAGTTTGTTTTTCCACAGTGTGTTAAAATAGAAGGAAAAATGTTAATGACCTGTTATTACAACAGTGTTTTCTGTCGCTTCGTGATCACTCGTGTGTGGGGGGAGTGAAAATTGTAGAACTCGGAGTGGAGCTGGAGCAGAAACACTCTGCTTTTCTCACATATGCTGTTCCAGACCGGCTTTGTGACATACACAACTAAATTCTTTAGTTTCTTTTTTTTTACTTTTTTTGTAGGTGGAAATTGGAGAAGAATTCTACAGACTATCTGGCCAGGTTCTGTCTAAAATGCAAGTTACTTAATATTAATTATTTATTGAACTGTTATATAATAGCAAAATCACACTCGCCATTGTGCGGTTTTACTAGATATCAGCTCCTTCTGTGAAAGCTGTCTGTTGTTAGGATGAAATGGTGCTGTCAGGTTTGAATGAAAAGGTCAATATTTCCCTGTCTGGCAGCAGGATGGACTGGCAGAGAAGGATTCAAGCTCTTTTGCAGAAACTGATTCTGTCTTTATTGACAGGCCTTGTGATCAATGGGTAAAATGGTAGTTTTGGCCGCTCATGTGTTGCGTCTATGTGCTTCTGCTCACATTGTGCTGCCTTTGTGTGTATATGTATTGACTGAAGGTGTTGACTGAGGATGTAGTTTAGTCTATTCTCTCAGCAAAACATACCACTAACATCTTTTCTTTTATGTTTGCTGAAGTTTAAAAATGTTTTTATTTCTCCAGGACCAAGTAGATTACATTTCTGTGCTTTTTTTGAGAGGAGAAAGAAATGTGTAAGCACTCTTGATTTGCTGCAAAGAGAAATCCCAGCACAATATTCATATCCGTGAGAAACAAGGTCCCATTTTCTGTGTTATGGTATGTGGAAAATGTAACATTTTCAAATTATTATCATTGACTGAAGTACCATCTCTCATGTGTGGTTAAGCACTTGGCTTTTTCTGTGGGCATTTTAGGTTGCTTTTGAGGGGAAGTGAAGTGGTGTCAAGGAAACTCGGGTTAAGTTGGCTCGTCTGTCATTGCTCTTAGTGTCACTCAAGACATGTACACAAACCTCAGTGTCATGGGAACGACACAGGAAGCGTTTTACACGTCATGTCTACAGAAAGAGACCTAAAAATGTTATACAATCAGTTATCAGGGCCTTTGAATGAGGGATATCAATATTCTCTAAACATGCTTGTATTATAAAATGTCTCCTGAAGATTTTAAAACAAATCTTCCAGTTTAATGATTTCATTTGCATTTCCTTCTATTGTACTAGGTCACTGCTAAAGGAGCTGGTCTGAACCCTAATGCCAAGGTGTGGCAGGAGATTCCTGCAACACAACATGAAGCTCCTGTGGATGGCACTGTGGCCTCCCCCTGGTCCCAGAACAATACGACTGAAGGCAAGTATATTTCCATACATTCTAAATCTTAATAATTAATCACTCTGCATATGTGCTGCTAACCATGTTATGCATAATCTGTAGGTTTCTTTTTTTTTAAGATGATTAGTTCTGGGAGATAAAAGGTCATAGATAATTAGCCTTTTTACTTTATTCTTAATTCCGTTCCATTCAGTTCAATTATAATTGTTTTTTGGAAAGATTTAAAAAAACAAAAAAAACAAATTAAATGTCTTCTATGCTCACCAAAGCTGCTATAGTGCAGAGGAACAGCTTTAAAATCTAAATATTTTCTAACATTTATAAATGTCATTGTGGTCATTTGACCAATTAAATGCGTCCTTGCTGAGTAAAAGTATTACTAGCCAAGTATTTGAACGGTAGTGTCAAAACATTTGTTTAACTGCTACATATTAGCAGATTTATTTTGACATCTTATCCTACAAAGGTTGCAAAAACAAATGAAAGAGATGTAAATTATATAAATGTATTTAATTGTATTGATTTATGTATAAAAAAAATTATGTGTTTTGATTTGTCTTTGTCATTTTGTTTCTGCGTTCACTTAGATACCTCTGTAGGTAAACAGTACAC